TCTTTGAAGTAAAACTAATAACATGGTGACAGATATGACAGTGGTGACATACAGTGACCAGAATTAATGAAGGTGTTCTAAATGAACGGTGTGTTCAATTAAAACTCAACACAAGATTAATCTCTCATTTAGGCTGAATCCCCAAAGGTCTATTATATATAATTAAAAGCTGTGTCTTTTTAATGACCCCTCATTTAACATGGCCTCAGTGTAGATGTGTAGATTGTTCCTCGCTTTTCCATGACGTAATAAACTTTAATGAGTTTTTCCTGTAACAATTTAATCAAACATAATCCTCGGCAGTGGCGGTTCTAGAGGGGGGGCCAGGGGGGCCAGTGCCCCTGTGACAAAAAGCTTGGCCCCCCTTGTGGCCCCCCTAAATGTGGAGTTTGAAATAATTTTTACAAAACTGTTTTTTGCTATCGTTGTATGCGTATTATTTTTTATTTTTCTATCTTTGTGGATTTGCATTTTCACGTGACAATTCGCATCACATTCGCGGGAATCGCGGCAGAATAACGCCTGTCTCCTGCACGCGAGAGAGGAGAGAAGAAAGTTGGTAAATGTCAGTTCAGTTGTAAGTTCATTCTTTATGTGCGTATGGGGTGTGCGATGTGTATTGTCTATTATGATATTGTAATCATTGTTTTAACTATGTACGAGGCACTGTGAGCTGACATAGCATTTGTCTATCGTCCTTTCACTGCTGTGTGCAGTTCATAGGTAGGCTCTGTCCCCAAATTAGTTTTTGTCTTATATTTATATCATATTATGTTCTTATATTAGAATATCACATCAGCAAGAGTGCCGTTTTCCCGTGCACAATTGCAACTGTGATATTTATGTTATACAACAGTTAAATTAACAATAAGTTAACATTGGGAGTTACTTTTTAGACACAATATTGTCAATATTGTTTGTTTTCCCTTTATTTCGCCGACTAGAATTTCATAATGAAACCGTAGCAGAGTCTCAATGCAACACAGCGATGATTTCTTGACTGAAATCCGCGTTTTGAACGAATCACTTGCTTCTTTCCCGAATAAATCAGCCGTTTGAACAAATCGGTTGAATGAATGAATCCCTCTTACAGGGACTTGCCGCCGCCTACTGGCGGTTTTAGTTTCATATTTAAAGTATCCTTTAATTAAAACGTTAAAATTAGAAATAATTTCATATTTAAATATTGATTTGAAAAAAATCTCATAGCTTTATTTATGCAATTGTAAATGGAGTGTAAAAATATTAATGCCACTTCTGTGTCACCTCTGCACTGCAAAGATGGATTTTGATTGAATTAATTAATTTGACTGGTAACAGTGGTACTGTATAATTATTGTATAATTAAGTATTATTGTATAAATAAGTATAATTACTGTATAATTTGAATGTTAGTATTTGACATAAAAGGTGATGCATAACTCTAAATAAGTTTAGAAAAAATGTCCATATATAGGTGAAAATGCCCCTGAAAAAATCAATTTAAGGTGGCAAATATTGCCCCTTAATTAAAAAATGTATTTCTGTCACTGCTGTGAACTGACCACTGCATAGAATATGAAAAATATGAATATCTTCGTGAGTCAGCTGTCAACAACAGGCCTAAACCAGCCATGGCACCAGCACAAAAACACAATCAGTAAAATATTATCTAATTATTAACAAAATGTTGAAAATATTGAAATATATTTTTGTCAATATTGCACACCCCTAATGTACGGTATTCATTTTGATTTCTTTAGGTCTTAAAAAGCCTTAAATTGGACTTTAAAAAGTGTGCAGGAACCATGTAAACGGTTAGACATATCAAGTCAGTTATTTTCAGTAAATTAATTAATAAGCTTCTTGGTCCCCATTGCTTTTGCTCTATAGTTCTCAAAATGAAGAGAAAGAAGGACATCATGTCTATTACAGTTACTGTGACTAATACTGAATATGTAATGCAAATGTAAAAATATAATGGAAATGCAAATACATTGTTGAATGATTATAAACACGGTATTTTGCCTGTTAATGCCTGCAGCAGTGCAGAAAATGATATGACAACAATACGGTCTAAATGTAACTGGCCCCTCTAACAGTACAACTGGCCCCAGCTTGGCCCCCCCAGTTGAAATGGGCTAGAACCGCCACTGATCCTCGGCACTGGCATTTACAGCTCCCTCTCAGGGGTTTGTGAAGCTTTATTACTTATGACCCAACCACACAACACACATATAGCCTAGGCTAAAAATCAGGCATGCACTTTAATGCTTGTTGACCTTATATAAAATGTTATGCAATTTATGTCGAGTGAAAGAACCACTGTAGACACTAAAAACAGAATACATCTGCTTTATACAGCATGTCATGTATTTTTTATGATTCAGCCTCTACGCCTCTTTGTCTCCATGGCAATAGGTACCCAGCCTACATCCGTGAACTGAAGCGCGGATAGTAGGCTATATATCACGCTCAAGAAAAAGAAATAAAAACATAATTGTTTCTTGCTATCAACAGGTTTTATGGGGCATTAGTTGTTTTGAGGCAAACCGTGAGAAGACTGGAAAGCTATTTTTGCGTCTCGTGAAGCGCGCGCGCTCAGCTGTTAAAGTAGATTTAAAGTGACCGCATCACCGCAAATATGATCGCAAAATAAACATCACACTTGTTGGTTATGCGTATCTTTAAGCTTAAACGCTAACATATATTTTTTTTATAATATAATGTTAAGTTACTCTCTTTGTAGATGCCTAGATCGGCTATGGCGAGGAGGGATCAATTTCTAATGATTTTTAGTGCAATACATTTTCAGAGCTTGACAGCGGCCCGTTAATTGTAACCGTCTGCATAACCAGAACTATCAATGGCTTCCAACGTGCGCCTTTTCCGCGTAATTATAAACAACCAGATTTATGTCAATACATGGGGTGGAAAAAGGTTTAAGTAAAATAATGCGATGTCTTACCCTTGTTTGCATCCTTATCTTCTTTCGTCTTTAGTAATGCTTTCCCGCTCATAGATCCCAGTTTTGATGAAGAATTCCAGATGATACCAAATCGGTCCGATCATTTAAAACTGGCTCTTCTATTAAACAATGGCCAACCCCTCCTTAAAGGAACCAGAGCTCAGTTCATAACGATTTCCCATTGTAATATCTTTTAATTATGTTTTTCATTTATTTTAAATCCAATACGGTATCCAGAATAAATCAATTCTGTATGCTTTTACAATCACACTCATCAGATAATTACATTAATTTAATGTAAGCCTATTTAATGAATAATTTAGTCAGTGCATTGTAATGTTGCTGAATCCTTACCGTTTGCTGGTCGTTATTATTTTCTCTGGCAGGTGTGCATAACGCTTTGTTCCTTATGACAAAAGACAAGGCTGCAAAGCAAGGCGTGAAAAACTGTCACAACAGTTTTCAGATAAAATTAAGACGTGAAAAACACTTCCCAAGCTGTTTTAGCGTCGTTCAGTTTGCAGTCTGCAAGATTAAAATTCGTGCGCTCATGATGTGCTTTGACACATCAATCAGACCACATGGCGGTGTATCACCCTAGCTACGCAACTATTGAGGTCGTGTTGTGAAGCCCATTCCCAAACTTCACCACGTGACGCATGACGTCGCCCTTCAGTCAGAAGAGTCAGAATGCTCTCTAGTTGACAAACATTACGTAGATTTACGCAAGACCATTCATTATCTGAACTCTCCGCATTTTTTGATTTACATGGTTTTGTTTAAAGAGCAGCTACAGGTAGGTAAATGAAAATATAACCAAGAAAATATGTGGGTTAAAAAACAAACAAACAAACGAAAATGCCTAGTTCAACAGGTAACGTTATGGCTTATCGTTAGCTCGCTATCATTTACGTTATAGCCTACTTGCTTAATTTGGCAAAAAGTAGTTGTTAAGCGTAAATATGTGAATTATTGTGGAGGCATTACCAAGTAGGCTGTACTAGTTAATTTCATTCATTCATTTTCTAAATGAATAACAAATTATATTAGTAGCCCACTGGATTTTCAGTAAGGCATCCTGTTTAATTTTCTAAATCGTTTTCTGCTGAAAAATCGAGTTCGCCTGAAAAGGTAGGCTAACCTGGGTGCGAAAATATTGTTTGAGTGAGATAAATCTTTACATATTGAATACCTAGAATTATCTATTAAGATGGCAAAGAAAAGGTTGACTAGTTGACCACCAGAAAGCCTTAATTCCCATTTCATTCACCCATCCAAGAGCAGCATTAATTATGTAGTTTAAACTTCCTGTTTGACTGCCAGAGAGAAGTCACATATCCTGTTACATAAAAAAGATGAGGCAAGTCTATTTTTTTTTAACTTTGGATTGTCGGATATGAGCACTATAAATATTTAAAACTTTTAAACTAGGTCTGTCCGGTTTCTTATATGTTAGTATAAGAATATATATAACACAAGATACTGTCATACAAAAATTCATGTAGGCCTAGTTTCTCTTGGGAAATTTATTTTGGCTTATTCACCATAAATCACTAAAGGAGAACACCTTGCAATGAAAACAAACAAATATGCTATACAGACTGTATATTTTATATTGTATATTCAACTAAAGAGTTTATGTCAGAAGGTATAGTTGTATGCCAATAGCACGTCTCAACTCTTAGCACATAATGTCGGTGTTTGTTGTTTCTTAATAGCAGCCGTGGACAGTTGCAGTTATGAGGTCAGTATTAGTCAGCCAAGTCTTGTCAATATTTGCTGGGTCCCAAGTCTGAACCGAGTTCTTTGAATCAGCGGGGGGGGGAGAAGACAGAAATGACTCAGGAATGTGATTGGTTATCCATACAAATATAATCATCCACAGGGATAAGGCTATATAATCCACATATTATGTTTTCATACTTTTATGTTATAAAATGCATTATTCAAACGCTGTGATGCTTTCGCATGACACTACAAACTGCTTATATGGTAAAATGCAGGGAAAATTACCCACAAACACTACAGGTGCAGACTGGGGGAAAAAACACCCACCGGATGAGATATCTGTTTGCATGAAGTGCAAACAGATATGTCCTGAACTTTGGAACAGATCATGAAAGTATTGTGACTGCTGAGAAAGATTTCTGCCTAAGGGAAATCATCAAAGAGAAAATGGTGAAGATTTATCACATTATTTTGATATGCACTTTGCTGCTTGAAACATGGCTGATGTCTGAAGGTATGTTAACATTATTATAATCTTGTTTATGTATGTTCCTGGAAATCATATATTTATATATGTGTGTGTGTGATTTAAAAAAAAAAAAAAAAAAAATTGTCAAAATTCTCAGTTTGAGGTGGTTAGTGTAATATAGTCAAAAAATATGTTTTAATGGTCAATGCATTTGTATGTAACATGTAGTCTTTTGAAATGTAACAAAAACTTGTGTTATAACCACTTAGAGCTAGTAAAGAGAGAAACTGGTTAACAACAGATGCCTTCTAATGTTTTGTGTTGTGAGAAAACATAAAGGAAACCAAAAATCAACTGTAAAATCGTTCATATCATGGTGGAACTAAAGTGATGCCTCAGACTTCAATAGCTGTTCAAATTCAGCATAAAAAGCCTTTCAAAGTAAAACAATATTCTCTTGCCAAATCTTCGGTGCTTGTAGACTACTTCATCCTAGAAACAGACCTTGGTGTTTGTGATTTCACAGTGTGTCTCTGTTGTGTATGTAGCTTCAGTGTTTCTGCCGAGGGAGCTGGCGGGGTCTCTTCTGAAGAGACAAAAACGCTTCAACACAGGATGGGAGGAGGTTATGATGAAGGCTAACTTGGAAAGGGAATGTTTTGAGGAGCGCTGCAGTCTAGAGGAGGTCAGAGAGGTCTTTGAAGACCAGGAGCAAACCGTGAGTAGCATTTACATATTTATCTCCTAAGAACATTTTTAGTACTCTCTCTTTATGAGTTTAAGACTTTCCAAACTCTGTTTCAGATGAAATTCTGGAGGAATTATATAGGTGAGTACGAATGTTGATGTATGTGCTATGTACAACTTTTTTGTATCTTTCTATCCTTTATTTTGTCCATAGTGTGTGATAATTTAAATTACATAAACATAACAGAATGTATTGAATCTATTGATAGTAAAATGATCATGGCCGCTCCTCTTTCAGATGGAGACCAGTGTCAGTCGAATCCCTGTCAAAATGGTGGGAAATGTGAGGATGGTATGAGTACATACACCTGCTGGTGTCTAGCACGCTTTAGTGGGAAGAACTGTGAGTTAGGTAAGATCTGTGATGAGCTCATAAACTATAAGATTTGACATTATATCTTCTAGTTCAGACAACATAATATATAAAGAAATATGCCAAAATATGTTGTCTTATTTGATAGTTTTAGTAATATTGTTTATTTAAAAAAAAATATATATATATATATATACATACTGTATGTTTTTATATTATATAAAAAAACATAACATGAATAAAATTAGATATGACATTTATTTAGTTTTTTTTAATATATCCTCCTGGGACCCAAGAATAGACTTTTGTCCACTGTAGTGGACATTATATTTTAGTGAATTTCTCTGACATCATACATGTCACATGACACAACCTGGGTGTCCTGTAAAGAGCACATTCAGGACTTTTCAGAGATACCAAATGTTTGGAGGTTTCACCATGAAAACAACTTCTCCTTGGTCTTTAAAAATGTCTGACATTAATTTAGTGATCAAATGTAGCATTCTTATGGAAATATGATAATATAGTGTAATTATAATATAAATTGGACTACTTTTCAAATTGTATTTCATAAAACAACATCTCAGGAAAATGTTAAGGGGTTTAAAAAAAAAAAAAAACTTTCTGTTACAGAACAGGGCATTGATTTCAAACGTGTCCACTGTAGAGGACATCAGGACTAAAATCATGTTTATCAGGCATTCTGGGAGACACAACAAGTGAATATGGAAATAAATTATACATCAATATTCCTATGAAATGTTAGATATTATTATTAAAATGTTGCCAATTATTACTCCAATTATTACCCTTTATTCTTTCATTAAATGTTGCTCCCAGAACACATTAATGTGCAAATTAGATACAGTGTATAGATACATTGCATTGAATGGGAATATTAACTTATGGCCATTTTACCCACATATTGCAAAAAGTAAAATGGTGTATCAATTCATTCCATTATTTCTTTCATAACATAGGTGAGAATAATCTTTATACAAATTTTGGTTGAAAAAATCCTGAAACCCCAAAATGTATTGGTGATTGAAAAAAAAATCCCATTGTTTTTGCCTATACATATAATTTCATGTCATTTTATTTTTTAAACAACTTAGTCCTGGCGTCCACTACAGAGGACATAGCATAACGTATGAATAAAATATTATTTTATATATATGTTTTTTTACCATTTGTTTATTGTGCTCTAAACAGTGTGATGACATGGAAAAAAACTAAATTCAAAAAACTTTTTTTTTCTGGGTCTCAGGAGGATATATAATATATATAAATGAATAATATATACAGTATACTGTATATATACATATATACATTTTTATTTTTATATATAAAAAAATAAAGTGAATATATATACACACACACAGATATTTATTTAAAAATCATTAAATTTATATTAATATACACCTTTTTATCTCGTTAGTAGAAATTCTTAACCTGCTTTAGTTAATCTTAAGGTCTTCCTCTGCTAAACCTTATGTTGTGTTTCATGGGTTGGTTTGGTGCAGAGATGGCAAAACAGTGTACTGTAAATAATGGAGGCTGCATGCACTTCTGCACTGTGGATAAAATTTATGGAGCAGTGTGTGACTGTGCCGAGGGTTACAGATTGGCTCTGGACAGCAGGACATGTGAACCTACAGGTACTGGAATCTATTCCCGCTTATTACATGCCATAATGGCATTGCCATTTATCTGCATTAAGCCTCTGTATTGTCACTGGGACATTTTCTTATATGGGGCTTTTCTTATATTGTCCAGTTTGACCTTTCATCTGCAGTAGTGTATTTTGAATACCATTTACATTCAAGGAATTTGATTGCATGTTTTAGCAGATGCTTGGGTTGGTTTATTGATTAGATCTTGCTCTTGATTCATCTACTTGCATCTTTATAGGGCAATACCCATGTGGACGTCTCAGTAAGATTATTGCTGAAACTCTTAACTCAAGATCCCTTATCAGTGCTGAGAATGGAAATCAAAATCAATCCATCAATCACGTCAATACAACCGAACACAATATGACAGAGTCCAGTCCTACAGATGCCCCTAAAGTGAACGGCACCAGCACACTTCAACCTACACTGGACAACAGCTCCTCCTGGGCTTTCTTTCCCCCTCAACCAACTATCAAAAATGCAACAAACAATGAACATCGCATTGTAGGAGGCAATGAGGCAACACCAGGGGAGATTCCCTGGCAGGTAGTGAAGAGATGAATTGTGTGTGTGTGTAAATAAAACATTCATGAGATTGCTCCTCGTCGTATGAAGCAGGGCAGACATAATCATTGGTTTGTGTCGAAAAATCCACAGAACAGAACCTTATATGGAGGAAATAATAAAAAAAAATATTTTTCTCTGGCAGGTGGTTTTTATGGCAAAGGTGAATAAGAATGTATTTTGTGGAGGCTCTCTTCTCAGTGAAGAATGGGTCATTACAGCTGCCCACTGTGTTGAAGGAAAGGTGGGATCTTTCTTCATCAGAGTGGGTAAGAGAACTACACTGTCACAAAGTTGTTATTGCTATTTGGTTATAGGAAAAAAAAGTTTTAATATGCAGTTGTACATATAAAGCAAGAAAATCATTATTGTTGTTTTTACTACAACTACTACTACCACTATGTTATTGGTTTATATATTATTATTTTTATTAACCCATTTATTATTATTAATTTATTATTATTGTTTTATTTCATATATACTGCATATATATATATATATATATATATATAACAATAATTATTTAATTTATTATCATTGCTTTTTATTTAATTTAAGAGACTCTTAAGAATCAACAGTTTTGTCTTTCAGGGCAAATGTGATGTGATGTCATGCATATTGTAAATGATTTGCTATATTTCTTTAGGGGAACATGACATCTCAAAGAAGGAGGGGAAAGAGAGTGACCAGGGCATAGCGGAGTACCATATCCATCCACGTTACAACTCTCAACACGGTTTTTACAATCATGACATCGCCCTGTTAAAGCTCAAGGGACCCGTTAAATTTTCAGACTACGTCCTGCCCATCTGCTTGGGCACTAAAGACTTCACAGAGAACCTGCTCAAGAGCGCGCAAAACTCCCTGGTGAGCGGCTGGGGAAAGCTACAGTTCGGGGGCATCGAATCCAAAACACTTCAGAAAGTAGAGCTCCCCTACGTGGACCGGACAGAGTGCAAAAGCAGCAGCACTGACACCATCTCCCGCTTCATGTTCTGTGCCGGTTACAGTACGGTACACAAGGATTCCTGTCAGGGAGACAGCGGAGGACCCCATGCCACCCGCTATCAGAACACATGGTTTCTCACGGGCATCGTCAGCTGGGGTGAAGAGTGCGCCAAAAAGGGAAAGTATGGCATCTATACCCGCATCTCAAAATATATGTACTGGATAAGCAACATTACTGGGATCAGAACAGGATAAATGTCCAATATTGGTCAACAGAGTTTGAATTAGATGAGGCCATTTTCCAGGTTTGTTTTGAAGAAAAATACACGTTGAAATGATTTAGAGCTCACAGTCATTTCTGTACAGATAATATTTACTAGTCATCATTCAACAAACATACTGTAACAATCAAGAAAATATATAGTTTACCATCTTATACTTTGTGCTTGTACATCTAGTGAAATTATTTTCATACATGATATACAGTACCACTTTCTTCTTACTAACTCTGTACATATTATACACCTATGGCTGTATGGCTTTAAGACGCGTCCTTCGAACTGAAGTACACATGAAACTCATTCAGACCACATCTGTTTTTCTTCTTCCGCCTTTTAACTTTATGACATGCGCGTGTACGTACACTACCTTTCAAAAGTGTGGGGTCAGTAAGATTTTTAAAAAATTTTGATAGATTTCTTTATATTTTTTTGAAAGACATCTTATGCTCACCAAGGCTGTTTTTTATTTGGTCAATACCGTACAAATAGTAACATTGTAAAATATTGTTGTAATTTAAATTTAATATATTTTAAAATGTCATTTATTCCTGTGATGGCTAAACATTACTTATTATTATCAGTACTAAAAACAGTTGTGCTGGTTGCTTAATATTTTTGTGGAAACCGTGATACACTGATATATTGATACATTCTTTGATGAATAGAAAGTTCAAAAGTACAACATTTATTTACAATATAAATCATTATCAATGTCCTGACTGCCACTTTTGATCAGTTGAATTGGATGAAATTAATATGTAAAACCCCAAACTTTTGAACGGTTGTGTATTAATTCATTGTAGTTTTTAATGAGGCTAACTAATAGATGACATCTTGCATATTCACCTCAATGGTTTCTAAGCTGTTAACAAAGTTAAGTGCACATTGTAAATGCAGGATGGGACAGGGAGAAAGTTTTTTTTTTTTAATGGAATGGACAAGTTTACAGTGGGCATTTTGATGATGTATACCACCAAGCACATTTTTTACTTCATTGACAAAAACTCAAATATGGTGAGTGTGCTGAAAATGAATTTTAAAACTAAATATTAACAAATGAGTTATGCCATTTCTAGTCCCATGTAAAAAAAATACTTTGAAAACTAAAAAGATGTGCTAAATAGCCCAGAACAGCCATATTTAATCTGACGTAAAGTAAATATGAACATAAACGCAGGATCATCTGAAGATGAGCAGCATGTTTTGAAGCATAACAGTGAAGCAATAAAGCAATCACATTGCTGAATAGTGATTTAAAAGTTTTTACACACTCACATACTCTCCAAACTATTTCTTGCACATTTCTCTGAAATATTTCTGAAATACTGATGCCAAAGCAAAGTCAGAATAATAAAAAAAGAACCTAATACTCTTTGAAAAGGGAATGTTAGGTTTTGGCACATAGACTAGTTACTGATGTGAGCTTTCATCTTTCATTCACTGTAGCGCTGGTATCTATTCCAGCATTAAATGGCTTTTTTAAAACAAGTGTCCAACCACCATACCCATCTGAGGAGAGAGAAAAAAACGTTTGCTGTTCTCACAGGTCAGTGTACACGCCATGCTATAAACCTTCCTGTTTTAAAATACAATTAAATACTGTGCTAACTACACAAATACATGTTTCAAATCATGTGTTATGGCACAGTATGGTGATGGTACCTTCCAGGGCTGAAGTGGATCAGTGGTTTGTGCTTCGCAAAGCTCCTTTTATTTTCACACTGTATTGTTGTAGGTGGTGTCTCTTTTTGTCTTTAAATCCAACATAATCCACAATCCCCACTGATGGCAGATGGAAACTTTCTGTTGACTAGGCGGCTCTGTTCTCCTGACTTTGTGTTTGTTTGTGTGCGTCGTTTTGGCATGACTGGGCTCAGTCCTGAATGACAGTAATGGCCTTTAGGGTTGTCACATGGTGGGAGCTTTGTGTACATGTGGTTTATGTACTTAGGTGTTGCTGGGCTTCCTGCTGTTTATATTTCCCGTATCTATGAAACAACACCAAAGTGTTTTAGAGAAAGAAAAAATTCTACTGCAGTGCAGCACAGTATGCTCAAGTCTGATAAAAATAATAAAGGGGTCATGACATGAGAACTCAAATTCGCCTTCCATCTTTTGAAATATACTTTTGTCTCTGTACCAGTAATACATCATGCAAGTTTCATAGCTTAAAACGTCGTCCTCATTATAAACAAAGCATTTATTTAATTAAGCAAAAATGGCTCGTTTTGATATTGAGAGATCTGTGAAGTCACATGGGCAAATACATATGACTGCCTCAAGAGCAAGACATCGACAAATAGTTATACATTTTCACACCATGCCTACTGGCATTCAGTCACTTAAAGGGGTGGTGTAATGCCCTTTTCACAAGATGTAAAATAAGTTTTTGTGTCTGTCCCTTTAAATGCAAATGAGCTGCTGCTCCGACACAGAGGACGGAGCTTCAACAGCTCCTTTTACCTCACACAGAAATGCACTGAACATTTTCAAAAACATTTAGCTTTTTATGTTCGAACCGGAGTCAGACAATGATGGAGAGACCCAAGAAGAAGTGACAACATGTAGAATGCAACAGGATAATTCTGAAAGGTTAGTTGATGAATTTATGTAGCTTATGTGTAGTTATCTTCTAGTCATTGATTAGCATATTCTGTCATGATAATCTATAAATCACGTTCCCGGGGCCGGGTTTATGTACATTTTAGGGTTTGTGATGTCACTAACCCGGGAGGAATGTTGTGTAGTCCCTACCAGCCATTTGTTGTAGTCCTTAAAAAGCAATTTCTTTAAAAGAAAATATCTCGCTTTGCTTTGAACTTTGAGCGATGTAATTTGTTGTTTATGCTCAAACAGCAACATTACACACTAACTAAAGTTAGAAAAGTGAAATTATAATCAACCACCCCTTTAACGGCTTACATTTGCTTACACTGGATGTGAGTGTCGTGTCAAATAGAACCCATTGGAATCACTGACGCTGTCTACACTGGATACAGTATACAGACGAAAAGTGAAAGCAATTTGAAAAGTGAAAGAAAGTTCGCTTTGACCCGTCCAGTGTAAACAGCTCATTTGCATCTCTATGCAGACTTCAGATGGATGCCAGCATCGGAAACAATTGGATGGTTTATTTTAATAGAGTTCAAAAGGTGCAGCACGCACATCCCCTTTAAAATTAAATGTTTAACATATTTTTTAATGAACATTCATTTATGTATAAGCTGCATTTTAGAGTATAGTGTTAATGATAAAGGTACTGTTTCCAACATCAATTACATTTACACTAAGCAGGAGGAGACAAAAATCATTAGGTACAGTTTCTACTTTCTGTACAGTTCACTCACCACAAGTCCACTGCCCGACCTAATGGAGGGACTTCTGCCTGCATCTTCCAGCATTCTCAGAAGTGTATCTACAGGGAGTTTTCCTTCACCTCCACGAGTCAAATTCTTAACATGCCTGTGGGAATTACAGCATGATATTAATCATTAACTTGTTAATTAGAGTGATGCTTGTTGCGTAACTAGTGATGTCCTGAGGGCAATGAAGGGCAATGAATCAATGTTATATTCCAGAAGATAATGCAAAATTATGTCAGCATTTTGGAGCCAAATATATGGGGGTTAATAATTATTAAGTCTTGTTGGCAAGAACGTGTTGGTGGCGTTTTATGCACAATATATCAGTATTTGGTACCATATCGGTTGATGGAAGATATTAAAAGCTTTTTATATATTGTCCAATATATATATATACTGTTAAGTGTAATCTCAAAATGAATATCCATTTTATACTGATGCACAAGGACAGGACAACCTGTCACTCACATAACATCACAGCAATAGCAAACCACAACCATCCAATCAATTCACGATGGACAGAATCAAGTCCCACCCTCTCAGCGTTGCTACATAGGGCAGATTTCCACCCAACTGGGCAGTTTTGAATTTGATTATGCCGGTAAAAATTGGTTTGGGCAGGAGGACAATATCTGGGTTGGTGTTGATGTTGTGGCTGAGCCTGCACTTTTAGCCAATCAAGAGTGATGGAAGGCAGATGTGATGATTCATGAGTGACGGGTTTTTAGCTGTATATTCAAGTAATTGCTATTTCAAAGTGGCATAAGTTGTAGCTACAGTAAAGAGTGGGAGAGTGACCCTCTAAAAAGATGGATAACATCTATGGTGGGAGATGACTCGAAGGCTCTTTGTAAATATAACCGAGAGAAATCGAATATGGGACTAGTTTTGTCCATCATCATGTGCACACTGGCCTGACCAGGACATCTGCAACTTTTAAACTGTCTAGACTCGTAAGCTGAAAGAGGTTTAAATCAACGATTAATGTTCAAAACTGTTCAAAGCTCTGCTTTATGTGCTACAATGTGTAATTCAAGTGAAACGTACTGTTGTTCTTTTTGAAATTAAAGCGAATCACAACGGAAAGTGCATTAATATTATTGTTGTTCATTTTTTTAACATGAATGACACATTTTCAGCTTTTATGGTGTGTGCAGGTGTTAAAGTTTGTTCATTTCTTAATCCGTGTTCCTGTTGTATTGTTCTCCTGGCAGGGAAATTGATTAATTTTTATCATTTTATTTTGTCATAATTTTTCAAGGAGGTAAATGGTCCTCATAAACCTTGGTTGCCATGACAATTAAATTCTATCCCATTCTTTTGGCTGTGAATATTTTTGCAGAGCTTTGGAGAGCTTTTGGGCTGAAAATCGTCAACCTTATCTGGCTTACTCTGACCTACATTTTTTCTTGTTTGAAAAGCCATTTCACTCAGATATACATCACAATAGGAAAGAAAAGAGTAATTGCAACTTAAGCATAAATTAAAAATGGAAAATGACTCTCACCAAAGCCCCATAGCACTCTCCTGCAGCACGTGAATGACATCACCACATTTGACGATAACGTCATCCTTGCCGCACTTTAAGTGATCCACCATTGCTCTATACCTTCCAGGAACCTAAAAAACAAGCAAACCAGCATAAAACAAGGTTAAAGCAAATCATTTAGACCATAGGTCTTCAACCCTGCTCCTGGATGCCCACTGTCCTGTAGAGTTTTACTCCAACCCTAATCAAACACACCTGAACCAGCTAGTCAAGCTCTTCAGGATCGCTTGGAATTTTTTTTTTTTTTTTTGATATAAACTCTGCAGGGCACTGGGCCTCCGGGAGCAGGGTTGAATACCTCTGATTTAGACAATATAAACCCAAAATCAATTAAACAATTAAAAGTTCCCCCCAAATAACTGAATCTGAGCGATATCTTAAGGTCAAAGCTCACCAGCAGCACATCGTCTTCTTCATCAGAGTCTGAGATGTTTGAGATGTCAGTGGTCCAGTCCTCCAGACCCTCACAGATGTCCACTGACTGAGAAGTCCCAGGCCAGCCTGCAACCCACAACCAGCCAAACCATAATGACATTTCCACCATATGGATTGTAAATCTTGCATTGCAATTACGTGATTCAATTTCATGCATATAAATGTGCCACAATTTACATATAACATATTAAAAAACCCATTCCAAAAACCCATTGAGTTCGATAGCATAGTACATTTTTCTGCACCTTATCAACCAGATTTAATTCCAATGAAAATGGCCTTCCCACGGCCTCTGACTCACTGCGACGGTTGTGGTGGCTGGGACGTGGAGAAACGAGGACTGGGTCTGTCAGAACAGGACTCACGCGGCCTGAATCGGCCTCTTCTGAGCTGACGGACGCCCCCTGGAGCTTGCTGTGAGGAAGGACATCAAAACAACCTGAGCAGCCAGTGATCTGTGTGGAACTCCAGGGCATGCACACGGACATATGCCTCACACTGACCCCACCAACCGATGAACCGAACAGAAACAAGGGCATCAAAAAAACACAACAACAACAACCATCAAACGTCATCACAAACAGGATATTCTTGAACAGGACTGCTGTCAGTTGCCTACACGTAAAAATAAATGGCAAGTAAACTCTGTATTAATGATTTGAGTGTAATTTCAAGTCAGTCAATTGAATTTCAGTAAATATTCAATAATAGCTGAGTTGACATGATATTGACTCCAATCCTGTTCCGTTGAAGAACATGACATTCAAAGAAATTGTTTTTTGAAAAACCAAATATAAAGTACTATGTGCTGTTTATATAAATACACAATTATTATTTATTACAAATATACATTGCATTCACTTAGGGTGAAGTATACATATGTCTGTCACATAAAAAATGAATCCTAATTGTTACATCATAATAATAATCCAAAATTGCACATTAGCCAATTAATTAGCCCATGACTAGACTAACAATACATTTAAACTAGATTTAGATGAATGAATAGGATTCAATGCTTCTTAGAACTTCTTCAACTTCACACTAAATGTTTGAAAATAGTTCATAATGCTTATTAAACAGTCATTTGCTAATAGCATTTTACATTTGGTTCTCCAAAGTCCAAGCCCAATGTTTCCATCGAGTAGTTTTCAAAAATGAGATCAAGAGTGTTTTTTCATGCCAGTATGATACAGATTAATATATCCATCATGCAGATGGGCTCAAAGCAAACAGTATTTATGAAGGTGATTTAGATAAGATAAAACCTGTTCATTATTGTGCTAAGTTTCAGATCCTTTCATATGCAGATGTTGATTTACACATATTACATCCATGCTATAGAAGAGATTGCAAATACAATGTGAGGGGTTATGGGAATACAGTGAGGATCACCTGTCGCCCAAGGGTGTAAATAATGGCTGCTCACTATCTGGGTGAGCATCACCTGAGAAAGAGGAAAGGCAGAGTTTGACCCACCAAGCACGACTCATTAATCAAGACCGATATTAACCGAAACGAAGATGCAAAGTAGGAACCTTTGTCAATCTTTTGCTGATTGTTGAGAATTTTTCTAATCTCAGTGAGCCATGCAATCTTCACATCTACTGTTGGAGCCTGCAAAATAAAACAATTAGGCTACAAAACACAGATCATTTGTTTCCCACTAGCAAATGTTTTTCTTATTTAATATTTTTTTCTGATTTAATATTTATTTTAAATTGTTAACTGTTATATCTATTTTATATACTGTGTATATATATATTTATATATAATGTTATATTATTTATATATTTTAATATAATATTTTAAATACTTTATTCTATTATTTATTTATTTTTTATTACAAGCTATATAATCATCACAACGATTTTAGTAATAAGTTAAACTAAACACCTCATACATTTCACGACTTCTGGACCGTAATGTATATGAAATCTGAATAAAAAATGGCTGATTAGTTCTTCTGAAGTACAGTATATTTAAAAACCCACATACAGTATTATTTAGTTATGCAAGTTCTACAAACAAATTTGCGTTCAGGACTTGACATTAACGTTCACTGTGAGGAGGTATTGAGGAGGCGTTAGCAAGTGATGACAGAGGCCCTTGTAACTTTTTATCCATTGCATTCTGTGGAGTTTTAACCTTGATCAAATGACTCACCTGAACAACATACACCTCCTCTTTTCCGTTGTACCAAATTTCAAACTTCTTTACATCCCCTTTGACGTTTTCTGTGATACCAACAGCACTCATCTGCAAATGAAAAAGAGGAGTCAAAGACCTCACTTGGAAATTCAGTAATGCAGTATTTTAATAACCTTGTGGGTTTTTAAACTGCCAATGAAATTTGAGTTAAGCCTAAAATCCCTTTCATAAAAATCTCTTTGAGCACACTTAAAATACGGCTGGAATAAACAAATAGGTGCTTAACTCCAACATCAGTGCAACACAACAAGCTCAAAAATTGGTTTAAGTGTAGAAAGTAGGTCAAAGTTGGCTGGTTAGCTGCATGGTGGATGCGGTAACTGCACCATCTGGCAGCCAAAATCATCTTTCTACATTGATGGTCATTCAAAAGTAGTCATGCATTCTGACCAATTAAATATTTAAATGCCAAATAGGTCGGTCTCTCACTCTCTCTCACCATCAGGCAGTGTTTGAAGCTGTACGAGGCTGTCCGATCATGTCCCTCTCCACTCTCCTCTCTCTTCTTGCAGAAAAGCAGAGCTCTTTCATGAAGGAATAGATGCCTTTGCATGGGTTTAAAGCGAGCCATGTCCTTCATGCGCGTTGGGCCTTTCCTATGGTTGATCCAGACGTTGAAGGAGCCCTGCATAAGGACGCGGCCCAGGTCACTCAATTCACCCTGGATACAAAGAACATGTAAAAAGGCAAATGTGGGAATGCAAATAGAAACTCGTTTGAAAGTTAATTGCAGGCCATATTCTAATAACAAAATCATGTTGCATCAACTGTCAGTCACGATAACTTTAAACATTAAAATGCCCCATTATGCTTTTCCGGATTTTACCTTTCATGTAGTGTGTAATATAGTCGTTTGTGAATGTAAAAGGTCTAAAAGTTTCAAAGATCAAACTGCACGATAAATTGAGTTATTGTCTCCCAACGGAAAGAACCGATTCTGAACTGCCTGAAATGAGTCGTCAGTAATTCCAGTCTTAAAACTTCCTGCCTGAACCTACGTAGGTTTGTAACAACTGAGCATAATGCCAGCATGTTGTCTTCAATGGCCAGCCCTTGACCAGCCCTCAAACACTAGTTGTAGCTGAGGCATGAAAGAGTTTGGTTCGGGTTGTTGACATGTCGTGAAGACGCTGCTTTCTGCACTGTGAATGCTAATCCACTTTGCATGCACTTCCAAAGGATGAGACTGTTACAGTAAAACCGACAGCATCGTTACTGTTTGTATCATTGAGTATGCAGTGCTGAGGAAGCCTCCGGAGCTGAAATCCAGACATGGTAATGGGCGTTTAGTTTCTGACACACGCTTTAAGCGGAAGACCAATCACAACAGACTGAGCTATCTGACCAATCCGAGGCTTAGCAGAGTAGGCTCGCAGAAAGGCAGGGAGTACAAAGCCCGAATCCTTGATCAAACCTTTTCAGGCACTGTGAGAAAAAAAGGTGATGCTGTTTTTGGACCTTGGATGCATGTAAACATATTGTTGGAGACCTTCGAAACAAAATTAGGAACCTTTAAAATAGCATAATAGGCGCACTTTAATAATCCTCCTGTCCATTATATAACCCTCCATTCTCATTTGTTGGCCACACCTCATAACCTGTGATGGCAATTTGATGCATGGAGTCATTGACGGACTTGAGGAGATCCAGCATGGCATTTAGCGCCCCCTGCAGCTCAGATGCATACTGTGAGTTTGAGCTGTGCTTTAGTAGTTCCTAATCAAAGAGACAGGAAGCACTTAGAGAAAATAATGGGGGAAATGTGGAATTTTGGATTTGGTTTGTTTTGGTTTGGTTAAGCACCTTCAGAAGAAGCTGGTACTTGGTTAAACGTTGAACAGGTTTCAGCAAATATGAGTCCAACCCTAGTTTATGATCCAGCTTCCTTTTACACTCCTAAATAAGAAAACAGAAAATAAATTTAGTAAAATAGAAGATTTAAAACTCATAACAGGATATAAACCATCCCACTAATTACTATCTATGCCTATAGATATCTGCGAGTGCTGTTTATTGTAATACTTTTAATCAATTGTTATTGTATGGTTGTGTGAATTCCGAAAAAATATCCACATCAATACCTGGATGAAGACTGAATCAGAACACTGCCTCCAGAGGGCATCTGAGCGAGGTTTGTTCTGGCAGTAGCGCTCGTAGACCTGAAAATTTTCTTTCTGCAAAACAATTCATTACAAGCGAACTGTTATAGGGCATAGATCAGTGGTTCCTATACTACTTTTCTAAGGCGTCACTATGAATCTTCAGCACCGCAGCAGAATAAATCATATTTACCTGAATTGTGAATGTGAGTTCACAGTCTATTGAATGAGAAGCAATAAAAGGCAGTGTACCAAAAATTTATGGCAAAAAATGTCTTTCTGTTGAGATGTCATCAGAGCCTGCATGCAAAAACAACGTCCAACGTGACCAGTCTAGTCACGAACAAACAATTTACGAACCAATGATTCTTACGAGTCGGTTCTTTTTAGTGAAATAAAGACATACAGCATGACCGGTAATGAAAAATACCAGTTTCAGTCAGTATGACTGAATCAACCCAATCAACTGTATACCTCACGTACTAAACAGCAAGTTATCATTATTTTCAGTCATGTCTATGTCAAAATGAATGTGTTTTGTGTCAGTATCATTACTGACCAATTGTTCATACTGTATGATATGTCATTAAAGATACATAGACTTGTTGAATTATATATACAGTGTGTGTGTGTGTGTGTGTGTGTGTGTGCGTGCGTGCGTGTGTGTGTATAGTCTAATGCCTGCATGTATTTGATCAAAGTACAGTAAAAACAGTAATATTGTGAAATAATACTGTAATATTGTTACAATTTAAAGTTTTTAATAAAAGTATCAATATATTTCAAAATGTAATTTATTCCTGTGATTTTCAGCATCGCTACTCCAGTCTTCAGTGTCACATGATCCTTCAGAAATCATTCTAATATGCTGATTTGTTGCTCAAGAAATGTTTCTTGTTGCACTGCTTAATATTTTTGTGAAAAATGTGATACTTTTTTCTTCAGGATTCTTTGAAGAATAGAAATTTCAAAGAAACAGCATTTAGTTGAAATAGAAATATTTTGTAACACTATAAATGCCTTTAGATATGACACCGAATTTCTCACCCTTTCCAGAAAGCGTGCTCCCACTCTTTCTGGGGACTCTAAGCAGCTCTCGAGGTCCTGCAGGAATATCCTGCATAACAAAGACAGGATCAGCATGAATGTGTGTTTATGTATCCATGTGTGTGGGCATATTTCTCACCTGCTGTGGAATTTATAGATCTCAGGCAGATTTCCAAACAGCTCTTCTTTCTTGTTTCGCAGTACAGATGGCAGTATATTAGAGAGAGATGGGTTATCCATCTCCGCCCTATAACCCTTTCACCAAGGAACAGGAAAAAATGTATGACTTTCAATTATTCTAAATATCTTCTCTTTTTTTTTAGCTCTTGAAGGGGAAAATCTGGAATCCACTGCTGCTTAAATGTATATCTAATGAGTGATTATAATCAAGGAATTAATCAATATTTTTCCTTCTAAATATCAAATGAGTTAAATGACTTCTCTAGGCTTGTGAGATTTTACTTTGTTATAAAAGTTACCAGTGTGATTACTGAAATGTTCTTTTCATATATTCTCTAATGTCTGATGTCAGTAATGCAGTGCTTGCTCATTTAGCCCGGCTTCCAGAAATGAAATATGGAAAGATGTTTTGTTTGAGAAAGGTCTTTAACATGTGAATACATACATCTGTTTTTCTAGGGTACCCTGACAACTATGGTCATTGAAGTCTATAGTTTAAGGGACCATTTCTCGGTTAAAGCCTTACTTTCTAGTTATATTAAAGTGCCCTCTCTTTGAGAGAAAGACCGTATTATCTTGATGTTTTGAGAAGACTCTCCTGTTTATAGTTAGAGCCTGGTCATAATCCAATCAATTATTGGAGATTGACTTGAGTTGTTGTTCTGGACATGCTGGCGCCCAGCAACCCAAATCTGTGACCTTCAAGGTCATGACGTAACTAACTTCAGGGTCCGAGTGTCGGCCGCATAATCGATGGAGATATACCTCAGTCTATCTGTATATGTGTGGAAAATTACTACGTTTATCTATTTCTTAGCCAATCAGAATCATTCAACCTGAAGCAAGGACGTAGCTTAGACCTTGGTGAAGGGTATAACGGCTGTGATCTTTGTAACTGTAAGCGGGGCGGCCTACGTACTCCATTGAGTCTTGAAGCTGACTTCTGCTGATGAATCTGCAAACTATCTTCAGTAAAAATTGTCTTTAATTTATTATAATTCTGACTCTTGTCTTAATGAATCATTTTTGGTTCTGGGTCTTTGACTGTAAATCCTCTTACACTCTAATGGTACACTTTTCCTTTCTGTTGCACCCTTAATCATTGTGCCAAGTGATCAGAGCCATCACAGTTTACTTTCTCTTTATATGGCAGTCTCTACCAATGGTTGTACAGAAAACATCAGAAAAACGTGTATGTACGTGACACGGCTCTGACTCACCGTGACACTATAAACTACAGTGTGAAAGGAAAGATGTGAATCCAAAATGATTGCATCCAAAGATCATCAACTATATCACAGCTGTTAGGCAAATGGCATGTGGGAGAACAAAACACAGACCAATTATTTCAAGGTCATTCGGTCAAGACATTACCAGCAAAACAGACAGCAGCTCCTCCACGTAGATTCTCTCCGTCTCAATCAGCTCCTTCATTACGTGGCTGTAGAGGCGAGGGATGCATGGGCAGAGAGAGGGGAAGAAAGAGATGAGGACAGAAAGGGAAAGAGACTGGTGAGAGACAGACAAAAAGAGGAGGTTCAGAAGGAATTCATGATTCGTGAACATACATTTTTTGTCAAGATATTGCATAAATGCTCACCGTTTGTGCTGGTCAGGGTTCTCAACTCCATCGGGGCCGTAGGATAGACAGCTGCGGTTCTCCTCGTAGTCGTGCATCACCTCTATCTACAGCACAAGAACCAGGAAAAAGTTCCTAAAGCTGTGAGCAACGAGTAGAACCGGTGCGCTTTGTATGATTTTGAGACGAACAAGGACGGTCAGCCAAACCTTCTTAGTGCTGGGACCTTTCCGTGAGCCCCTTTTACCAGGGAGTGCAAGATCAAAAGAAAACCTTAAACTGGAGTTCACATCAAAACCTTCGAAAAAGACAGAAAACAGTCAGACCGATGGCAATTGTTCACCATGAGCAAATGCAGTTTGAAATAGATAAACATACTGTGTTTAGGAGAGAACAGAGGGGATTTGCAGCGTGGCGAGTTCTCAGGCCTTGGAGCGACCAGCTGGATGGGTCTGACCTGAATATCAGCCAGCTTTCTCAGACAGGCCTGTCTGCTCTGGATCATTCCCTGTACTGTTGATACCTTCTCTGTGACAGCCTCTATCTGAGACTAGCATGAAAGCAAAAGGGGGTGAACTTAAAATAGGCCCTTGATCAATAGAAAATTATTAAGGACATACCATAGAAAAAGAGGGGCATTTTCACTACTGGTCTCAAAGGGTATATTTGTGCCGTATGTGTGTCAGTACCTGCAGCTGTGGTGTGAGTATTGCCTCAAACTCCAGACTGAGGAAGCCCGGGTTAGACCGCAGGACTGAGGCTGTCTCCATCAGTTTCTCAATATCCCGCAGGGCTACCTGCGCCCCCTCTTTGGACTGAAACTTATCCAGCAGCTGGTTAGCCATCAAATAGGCCCCCTCATCACACCAACGCACAGTCTGCCCATACAGAGATATGCAAAGTCTCTATGTGCTTTGCATAAAGTGCATAATACAGTATTACAAGGTTCTTGGATTTGCATTCAATACCTCCTCCAACCGCAACAGCAGGTCTCGTATGCGTGTGAGAGATGCCCGCTTGGCACGCAGAGCTGTTGTGAGAGTGTCACAGTGATGCCTCAGTTCATTGCAACGCTGAACTATTAGGGCAAGAGCGTAGTGATGACTTGCTGCAAGCTGGTGCCCATGCAGAATAATAATCTGAGCACGGCCCATTTCATCCTGCAAGAACAACAGAGCTAATAATCAAACACTTGTGTATATCAGTTGAAATACAGTTTAAAAGATGTTTCACCTTGTCAGCTCTCAACATCAGCATCAGTCAACATTTGTGGTGTGCAATGCATTTAAACTGAAGCACAGTCTCAAAAAGGTTTCTTTTCATTTTCTATGAATGCTTACCAGAAAAAAAGAAGAAAAAAAAAAGAAGAGGGTCACATATTTTAATCATTAAAATTTGAAACCTCTGCTGTGGTCTCCAGCATCTCGAGGTCTTTGAGCAGCTGCTCCGTCTGGGCCACTGTTGTCCCCACAGATGCAATTGTTTTCTCTTGCGTACTGAGTTTCTCCAGAATGGCCTCCATCTATGCACAAAGACAAAATAATTATTTTCAAAAATGCATTTAAGATCAATATTTCATATTGCATTCATTCAAGATTTTCACAAAAATATTATAGAGGATTTTGGCATTGGTATAATTACAATTTTTTACAATTACAATTAAAACAATTTCCACAGATGTTAAAGGGGACCTATTATGCCCTTTTTACAAGATGTAATATAAGTCTCAGTTGTCCCCAGAATGTTTCTGTGAAGTTTCAGCTCAAAATACCCCACAGATCATTTGTTATACCATGTTGTAAATGTCCATTTTTGAGTGGAAGGAAAAACATGCTGTTTCCGTGCATGTATCTTTAAATGCAAATGAGCTGCAGAAGAAGAGGGCTGAGCCTATACAACTCGTGCCTCAATACTCTGCCAAAAACTAAAACATCTGTTTGGTTTTGATTATCATCTCTATCACAGCCACACTCACGTGACATTGCAGTTCTTTATCATCATGAAAGTTTATTATCTGCATTCGTTTCTCAGTCTAAACTTCTGATATATGGTTTTCTGAGCGCACACATCTGAAGCACGAGCACAGAGAGCTGGATGTCTGACTGTGAGTATTATGCTGTTTTCCAGGCAGGTTTTTGAGCACGTAAATCACGACTTCAAACCACGACTCACGACTTTGTAGCGTTCCAGTCACGCCGAACTACCTGAGCGCAATATACATACTTATTGTTTCAGACACATAACATTGTAATACATAATCATGTGTGTATTATTATCATTATTATTATATTATTATTAATTTGACTGCAACGTTATATGTCCTAAAAGTGTATTCTCACCGTGTACCGCCTGCAGAAACACTGCATCCGTAGGGGCTGCCATTGTTGTTTTGTATGGTTTCGCGGGCTATGTGACGTCAGAGTTCGTAACTGGGAGTACATCGATCTAGTAAGAGTTCACGGGTGGAAAGTGTTTGACTGCCATTCCAGTGCACTTTCACGGGTATAAGGTCGGAAAAACACGGGTTACATTACAGGTTGCCTGGAACACGGCATTAAACTACGTTCTCTTTCACGTCTTTTTGTGCTTAAACTGTCAAATACACACAAGGTTATGTAAAAAACACACATCACATAAGTCTGTTGTGTTTGTGAACGTAAACAGCAAGTACAGAAATTGCATGTGTATATTAGATCTGTGTACTAAAGTGAAAACAGCGTAAATACAGTACCTACTGCTAAATATGTTGTCAATATGAATCAAACAACAAAAGAAAAACAGAAAATCACTTACGGCTCTTGATTGAATTACTTTAGTACCGGTAGCTTTAATAAGAATTAATTTCTAACATGAATGCTGCTGTTAAATGCTTTGGCGAGGGAATAAATATGGCAGACTGTATTACAGCTCAATCAGGGTGGGGTCTACTATGCTAATGGCACAGAGTCTGTCAGACGTCGTGGGCGGGGCCTGTGCAATGTGATGTCATATTAAATAGAAACTGCATACGGCTAATTCTGAGACATTAGGATTTATGGGGATTAAAAAAAAGAAGTGGGCAGATTTTTACCATTATAGGGTGGTTGTGTACACACACTGCCAACACACATTTACTGTATATTAAATTTTGCATAATAGGTTCCCTTTAAATTGTTTAAAGAGATAGAATCAGGCTTTCCAATGCTGGATATGAGAAAATAGACCAAATAAGACAAAAACAATTCACTAGAATGAATCAGACTTTCCAATGCTGCATATGAGAAATTAGACCGTTTCAGGCAAAATGATTTACTAGAATGACTTCCAGCGCATCTTATGAAAGAGGCGAGTACGCTGACTTTAGGACCAACAGAATCACTAAAATTAAATTGGACTTTCCAGTGTATACAGTATGATAGAGAGAGCCGAAACATCGTGTTAAACCTCAGCTCACAGTAGCGGACTTGATCTAGTAGCGAAGTACAATGACATTCAAAACAGCGATGTAGCAATTTATTGTGCTTTACCATGAATAGTTGGAAAAGCTTGTTACTACAAAAGCAGTGTTGTTAAAGTAGTTAGGTTAGTACACTTTTAACTCATTACTCCAACACTGGTCTGTACCTCATGGAAGCTCAGCTCGTATTGGAGGAGTTGAAGGTATTGTTGAAGCTTTAGGTGGTGCTTCTCAAAAAAGCCATCAAAAGCCATTTCCATGTCCCGTAACTGTGCCACGAGCCTGCAATAAACAAATGAAACATGATGAATTTGTACACAAAGAGCCTAAGCTGAAGTTCATTTTGATGATTGGCACAAAAATGCATTGTGAACTAGAGGAAGTTGAATGGGCCTCAACCAATCCAATACTAGGAGGATAAAAATTAAAAGAGGCAATAAAGACTGCATGATTTTGATTACCTGAAAAACATAAATACTCCTTGGAGAGTTATTCAGCAACCCGAAAGAGCAGACAATGATTTACTTACTCTGCTGGTGGTGAGTAATACTGTATGAAGGCTACCTCTGCACTCTTTCTTTGTCTTGGCTGATGTCTCTGTCTTCTGCTGCAGCACCTTCCATTGCTTTTGAGGCCTCGAGGTTTGAGAGCAGCTGACGTCCATCCCTCATAACTGACCTAATGTCATCCTGTAGTAGTTTTCAAATCATATGTCTTAATCAACCATAACTTAAATATATATTTTTTTATTTATTCCAGTATTAATGCTTTTTTATGTGTTAGCAACTTTTTTTCCCCCAAACACAGTGTTTGTTTTTTATATTTAATATATTTTCCAAGTCTGAAACCACATTGAAAGTCTGGGATAAAAAAAAAAAAAAATTATTCAACTTTTTAAAATATTGTATTCAATTAAAAACAATTGCTATGCTGGAAATATAATTTGCATTAGATCAAATTATATTAAATTAGACCATTTAAAAAAGTGTCAGACCCCACTGTTTATGTGCCCAATAGGCCCACTCAATTGTGAGACTCATCTCCATACCTTCATCTGTCTGTATTTGTCAGTGTGTGATCTGAGTAGGTACTCAATGCCACTGGCTTCATCGGGCAGCTCAATCTCAGACAGCTCTGTGCCGAATGTCTGCAGTAGTTGAGCGATCTCCTTCACTGTCACTGCAAAACTCTCTATGGCCTGGAGGAGGCAGCACAGATAGAAATATGCATTACTCAGCAGTTATTGCAATTATAGTTCAAAGCCTCCTTATCTAAAATCAGATATAAACATATTTATAGTTGCCAATCTAAATTAATTAATAGGAAGTAAACAGATATCCTTTAGTAAGTGATTTATTTCTCTTATCAGCATTAAATGACATACAATGCGATTTTGCAATTTAATTCCATTTTGTGAGCATATAATGATTTTTTTTTTGTTACAGCATAAATGACTTGTCATTTTCCTTTCTTGAAATCAGAAAGCTTACCGTTCGCAGAACTATCCAGTCACTATGGCATTGCTCCAGGTTACCACCAAACTCAGAGCTCAGCTGATTTTCATCAATGAAGCGAAGCAGGTCTGACAATGAGCTCAGCATTATCATCTGAATAAGGCAGAAAATAGCTAGGGAATTAATTAAGCACAGCATATTTAATGAAAATTTTATTAAATACGATTAATAATCCATTCGTTAAGCAGACTAACCTTGTAAGGGTGGAATGGCCTTTTAATGGCATTGTTATGGATAAATAAAGATTGAATAAAAATAGATGCAAATGTTTTCCCACCAGTGGGGATTCAAACGAATGACTGGTCTCAATATTATAGTTACAACTTGATGTTTGTTTTGCTGTTCAAGACTTCAGGTATGCATCTCATCACTATACATAAAAAAAACTATTGTTTTGTACCACAGAGGACTCTCGTCAGCTCTTACCGGCATCTTGAGCGCGAAGTCGTCCTGACTGAAGCGGAAACCGAGGTCTGTTCCAGTGGTCTGAAGGTGGGTTTTGGGCCTCAGCACTAGAACTAAATGCAAATGTCCAGGGAATGACATCTGAAGAAGAGACGTGATATTTCAGCAATTTCAGTACATGTTCAATTTCTTTCTTATCCCATAATGGGATGATTTAAAGAGTAATAATATGGTAATTTAATCATAAACAGCAAGGTGGCTGCTTGTATATCATCCTCCCACTTCAAATGTGTCCATAGATGTAGAAATCTAGGTCAGACACCCACATGTCCTGGATGCACATATTTAAATTGTAATTAAGTAATCACAGAAAAAGTTACAGTAATATCAAGAACAGAGCTCAATTTAGAATTAAAATGTGTTTTAAAAAGCCTTTACAAAGCTAACAAATGTGAAACAATTGCATTTTGTAACTTCAGTCTGACTACAAGCAACTACTATGCACTTTTGTCAGACCCAAGACAATCAATGTCAGTGGAAATCCAAGGCTGAATTTGTTGACTGTTAACCTACTAATGCTGACAAGAAAGTGTAGGCTGTCTGTCTTCTCCCTTTTTGACAGACTGATGATCAATAAACTTCATCAGAGACACTCACACTTTTCACTCAAATTGCTGTGCTGGTCTCCCATAATCATCAGAAAATGTACCCTTATGGTGCATATGTTACTTGCAATAAAACATATGCACAGCCAAAATAAGTCTATAATGTAGCCTATTATTATTGCATTAGTCATAATCCGCACATGGAGTTAAAAGCGTGGTCAGGTGTTTAAAAACGTGGCGATCATTGCACATAACTGTTCAAATGTAAAACAAACCATTGCTGACTGCAAAAATGATCACAGTAGGCTAATAACTAACAGTTAACATCACAAACGCGCGCGTGATCTAGTTTACAGTTTCTCTATAAAGCAGACTCCCACCCAGCGCCCGCAGTAGCGTGTGTCAGTTCTGCAGCAAAAACCCGGTCCAAAATAGAGAAGAATCCATCTTACCGCAGCCCTCTGGATCCGGGGCAGTCCCCTGAGTGGATTAGCCTCCGCCATTGTTTCTAATTTGTCCGTTTCGTGGGGATGTAGACCCACTTCTTAGCCTCACAACTTCCCTCCCTCCATGACTTTGTCTGCGGGACTGTGAGCAGCAGCAGAAGCAGCGAGTCGCAGAGCGGATGCTGCAGTGGCGACGACACCTTGACCGCACTTATCTGCTCATTACTGTCTGTCACACCTATAAAAATGACTCTTACGCGTAACAAAATCCATCCAAGAAACCACATTTTTTGTGTGATTTACTCGAATCAGACCTGATTGGATTATATTGCAAGTGTTACAGATAGTGAGGGAAACGAGTTATAAAATCCAGCACCATGGACAAAGGTCGATAGGCACTCGGCCAAATACCTTCTTCCCACCTAACACCACATCATCACCTGACTCACAAACAATAATTATAAAAAAACATAGGCCTATTTTAAAAATGTGATACAAAAATGATAAATCAATTATATATATATAAATAAATTATGAATAATATGTGTGTGTGTGTGTGTGTGTGTGTGTGTGTGTGTGTGTGTGTGTGTGTGTGTGTGTGTGTGTGTGTGTGTGTGTGTGTGTGTGTGATATGATGTTACATTTATAATAAATTAGTAAATATATAATAAATATAAATATATAAATTAATACAATATAATAAATTAATAAATTACACATTTAACATAATGTATCAATTTACTGATTTTATCGTATTTGGTTAAAATCCCATTTAATATGACTAAATCAACCTAATTATAGTAGTAATATAACATATCCATGGTTTAGATGTCCATGCATATATATATAGCCTACAGTACCAGTCAAAAGTTTGGAAACATAAAAAAAAATGATTAGCCTCGTGTTCACCAAGGCTGCATTTATTTAATCAAAAACACAGTAAAAACAGTAATATTGCGAGATATTATTAAAAATGAAAACAAATGTTTTCTATACAAATAAATGTGAATATTTGAATATATTTTAAAATGTAATTTATTCCTGTGTGTCACACATTGCTGCGGTGAAGTGCACGACTCAGGAGAATATGACCAAAAAAAATCCAATAATCCAGAACAAGAAAACTCAGGAGAATTAGCAACAACATAAAAGTCAGACGTAAACATCGACGATACCGGACACAGAACTAGGGAAAATCAGGGCTTAAATACATGGGGAGACATAATGATTGACAGGTGAACGTAATCAGTAACCAAGGGGAAAAACTAGGGAAAATAGGCAGTCAGACAGGGAGCATGATAATTAAAAAGAACATACACGTTACAGAACGCCCCCATCCAGGAAGGTGCGTCCTTGCACCATAACAGTCCAACTGAGGAGGGAGGGTGGGGGCTCTGGAGGGGGACGTCGAGCAGGCAAAAGGCTGGAACCAAGTGGCGCTGGTGGTAAGAGACCAGGGCGGTGGTGTTGGTTGGAGGAGCCAGGAGCAGGAGGAGTCAGCTGAGGACCCAAAGCGCAGCCAGGACGATGACCCACAGTGAAGTCGAGGGATGGAGGAGCCATGGTGAAGATTTGGCTGATGAAACCAGGGGGATGACTGACGGAGATGGAGCCGATGGAAGAGGAGACCAGGATGCAGACGGAGAGCCGACGAGACCGGGAGCCACCAATGGCAATGAAGGACAAGGTGGAACCGCAGAGACGAGCATCTGAAGTGGAGCCAGGGTGTCAGAGGACTGGTGGGACTGAGGACCAAAGCGGAGCCGAAGGGGCGGAGGAACGAAACATAGCTGAAGGCCCGTGAGTCCGTGGCACAGGCAGAGCAACATCTGACCAAGCAAAACAGGGAACACAGGAAGGCAGACAGGCAAACAGGGAAACCAAAACACCATGATAATAAAACAGAACAAAACAGAACATACTGTCACTTCTATTCTGTTATTCTGTTCTGTTAGTTCCTGTTTTGCCTACTCCGTTACTGATTATCTACAGATATATAATATAGTTATAGTTACATATAACCAGCTGCCTGTGTCTTCCCCCGAGCTGAAGCAAGCCCAGTCCATCTCAGAGCCAGGAGCAGATCACTACCTAATAGATCTGTGGTCCACAGATCCACTTCCATTTGAAATGTTTTAGATAGCAATTAGAGTGAGAAGTGTGAATGTCTCTGATGAGGTTGATAATCATATAGCCATTAAAATGGAGAAGACAGACAGCCATACACTACACTTACTTGTACATTAGAAAGTGCTGGCAGTCACTCAAATTAAGGACAGGCCTATGAAGTTTGACCTTAGTAAATGTTAAAGATCCCAAAGACCTGGATGGTGCTCAGCACGTTTCTGGCATGTTCTATGGCTTTATTGCCACTGTGATTAAGCTTTTTAATCTTTGTTCTGGACTTTCAGAATGAGAGTGAAAGTGGTCACAAAACACAGTGGTCTCAGTGCACTCAAGTCCGGTGGTCTCATCTCGAGTCAGGTGGTCCCAAAGTTACTTCCAATGTCATCTGCGCTGTTTGTGATGGCTACTGCCATCTTGTGTGTTTGGGCCACACACACTTCTATAGCTCCTCCCCAGGCGCAGAGGCAGTGGCGCCTGCTCGTGAACTCTGTCTGCTCTTTCAAAGCCAAGGAGCCTGAATCTGAACTCTCAGTCTGCCCTGTTATGGCCAAGGACACCATCCGACCATAAACTCGCTGCTTGTCCAGTATTGGCCAAGAAGGCTGTTCTTGAACTATTTGTCTGCCTAGTCATGACCAAGGAGACTGATTATGAACTATCTATCCTATCTGTTACGGCCATTGAGGCTGTCAATAATATCTCTGTGCTCTGTTTCAGTGCTGCCGTAGTATCCACCACCGACAATACTGTCATGGTTCCAGGCTCCAACATGGTCTTTACAACAGCCATGGGGGTATTGTTCAGTCCTGTCTGCTCTGCTATGGTAGTCTTGAGCTCCACCTTAGGGGACTTCTGCTCCGCCTGCACTGCCATGGTGGTCTTCTGCTCCACCCTGGTGGTCCTCTGTCCCTTCAGATCCACCCTGGTGTTCCTCAACTCCATCTGCTCCACCGTGGTGGTCTTCTGTTCCGCCTTTCAGGTCTCCTGCTCTTCCGGCTCCACTTGGTCACTGCCAACTCCACCCTGGCTCCCTGTACTGTGAGCTCTGCCCTGGGTAGGGTTGCACCAGCCGTTCGTAAGTTCTTTCTTAAACTGGAACGTAAAGTTCACACTAGAGGCTTAGTAACTACTAGCTAGTTTGTAACTAACTCTGTACTTTATTCCATTGCACCATTTGTTCGTAAGGCAGAACGTAGCTAGTAGGTCGTAAGCTCTCCGTAAAGTAATGCGTAGTCACATAATATGACGTTTAGCCTCGATGATCCAATAGCAGCCTTCAAAACCGTGAGCAGAAGTTGTTTAAATGCTGTGAATTTCAGTTTATCCTTCATTCTAACTTCTTTTGCCTCACTTAACTAACAGTAAAAATATGTTTCCATTAAATACGACACTTAATCATGAATCACTTAATCACTTAATCAAGTGTTTTTATATTTAACTTACGTTCAGAAACGAATTAATAAGGATAAATAAATAAGTAATGATACAAAAAAACATAAGAAATAACATTTATTGATTATGACTGATTTTATGTGACATGCACAACACGGACCGATGGGACAGATGCACACAGCGGCGCGCCGTAGGACGGACGTAGGACTGAGCTAGACCCAAGAGAGAGATAAGCAGCCTCAATCTCCTCATTTACATCTATCACTTTGGAGCCCTCTGCTGTGAGTCTTTTGAAGTTATCTTGTAGCTCCTGTACATCTCCATGTGGGTCCTCATTATATGGTTGGTGAGTCGGGAAAAAAGTCTCTTTACTATTGTTCGCTCCATTTTCAGCTCTTCGAGTGACTTGGACTCAGCCATGTTGCTTTGTTGGACGGACAGGTGGACGGCAGGTAGTTGGTTTCCTCCAGGCCCCCAGGTGGAGTCTTCCCTCTTTGTGGCGGGCTTTTGTGGCGTCTTCACTGGTCTAGGCCGGTTTTTCACTGTCAAGTGTTTTTATAACTGTGAGGTGCCCACACTTGAAAAGGACCAGACTTCGGATTACACTCAGAAAAAGATTTATTTTTGACCAGTTGAACAGGATCAAGATCGGGAGTAACAGGTGAAAAACCTTTAAATAAAAAAAAAAAAAAAAAAAAAAAAAACATTTTGAATAAACAGGTACTTTCCCAACACAGGAAAGGTAAAATGCATTTTACAGGAACCACACACACAGGTAAGTAATGCACAACTAAACAAAGATTAACCAAACTCTGTTTTTTTACACAAAATAACTTGGTTCTTTTTACCCTGCATTTTACTAGACTTTCCATATAGATTAATTCCTAATTCTTTTTAACTATACCAATTTAAGCATTTGAACTTATCAGTTTAGTATCTCTATAAGCCAAGCAATAACAATTACTTTAATTTAATGTGTTAAATACCACATTTAATACACGTTAAATACCAAACAGACAAAGGATCCAAAACGAGAGTCCATGTGAAACAAGAGTCCATTTGAGCTTACCGATAGCCCATTACGATCAAAAGTCCTAGTTCCTCACAGTGAACACGTTTGTGCCTCTGCCGTCCTCTTAGTCCGTCGCACCCCAGTCAAATGACTGATGCGCGTATTTGAAATCCACTGATTGAACTGGGCGCGAGCTTCTGATTTCCCCTATTCAATTCACCTGGTCGAGCATGCACCAACGCATGCGCAAGGGAGGAAATGACGAGTACACGGGAGACAGCCACACCTCCACCGGGTTAGTGCGACAGTGTTGATGAGCCGCTAACAAAGTAATTTATTCACATAATGTTCTCTCTTTTAAAATGTAAGTGAGTTTAAATGTCAGCATTATCATATGTCTAAAGAATTGAAGTCTGTCAGGTAAAAGAAGAGCTTATTGATGCAGTTTAGTCTGCCTGCTATTTTAGTCGCTGCCGCTACTCCTGATCGGAGGCTTCCGTAAATATTTAGTTTATACATAGAGTTAAGCTTCAACTAAGTTTAATGGTGCAATGCAAAAATATTTAGTAGTGCGTAAGTTGTATCTTAGTCCCCATTTACGCACAGCTGGTGCAACCGGCCCCTGGTCTCTAGGCCCATTTCCGCCACACAGGCCTGAACCTCCATCCCTCCCCCTGAACCGCTTCTGCTCCACCACCCTCCTGGACTCAGTTTTAGGAGCATCTGAAATCTGTTCCATAACTCTTTCCACGCTATTGACGTAAATATCCGTTATTTTTGAGAAAACGGTTGCCCGACATTGACGTAAATTTTCAGCTTTCCGTTTTTTCACTGTTATACGGTAGGGGGCACTATTACGCATATTCTGAAAGAGTACAGAATCTCCTGATCAAAACACAGGGCGAAAAAGAAGCAGAAACATGCGATATCATATGTAAGCAGATGCATATTTAAAATATCGCGACCATCAACATTAAACAGCAAATCACTGCCTAATGTTACTGAATGAAATGTCAACGACGAGCTACAGGACTGTGAAGCTTTGGGGGTGTTAATGGATTCAATCTACTTCATCTATGTTTTGATACCTTGTTCTGAATCCGATCTGGATGTAGGCTTTGACAAAAAAATTATTTTCTCAGCTTTTTGCTCAATGTTTGCTCAAAACTTACCCATATTCAAGTGTTGATAAAAAAGGAATGAACGAAGCTAGAATAAAACAGTTTTTTTTTAAGTAGAGAGTCTGTTCTTTCTTTTGATATATTGCATGTTCAGATATTCATACAACAAAATATTCTGAGGGCCATGAAACTTTTGTGAAAATGGTCATAAAGGCTTTTTTTTTCAAAATCGATGGCAGGTAAAGAGTTAAGGGGGGCGGGGGTTCTTTCACGATTACTGTCTCTGTTTTCATGAACTTTTTTTGGTATTATTTTGATATTCTATTGTATTGTTGTGCCTATGTTCAGTTTCTGTGCACAGTTCCTGTTCCCCTTGTCTTCATCATTATCCTGTTAGCTTCCATAGTTACCCTTGTTTGTTACCATGTCAACTAATCACCTACACCTTTCCTTTATTTAGCCCCTTGTCATCTTGTGTATATAAACCCTCAGTTATCTTCTGTTACTCGTCTTCTTGTGTTAACATTTCATATTAGTGTTTCTTGTGATGGTGCCTTGTGTTTATTAAATGTGATTTCCTCATTCATCTGCGTCAAGCTTCTTTCAGATGGGTTATCAAGTCAAGCCAGTAGCCTACGTGATAAGGGAACACTAACACTTCTTCAAAATGTCTGATTTCCTTTTTTTGACCAAAATGACCTCAAAATGACCATGAAACAGTTTGTTCACTGAATGTCCATAACAGAGATTAAAAAGCTTAATCACAATGGAAGCCATGCTGAAAACATGCCAGGAAGGTGCTGAGCGCCATCCAGATCTTTGGGATCTTTGGGCATTTACAAAAGGTCAGGCCAGAGTTCATAGGTCTTTACTTCATTTGAGTGACATTGGTTTTGTCACAGAGAACTGCGAGCACTTTCTAATAAAGAGGGAATCCATCCTCTGGGCTCAGTCGACACAATCCCATTATGGACAAAGTGGGAGTGTAGACAGATTGAGAGAGATTAAACTTTGAAACAATCTGTGCCAACTGTGGGTAAACAGCACCACAACCAAGCTGTACATTAATCAACAGACAAAAATGACTGTTAGATGGTGTTAGTGTTATATCTGTTATAGATCTGTTAGTGAGTTTTTCATGCAAACAGTAATCATTCAGATGCCGTCTAGGGAGGATGTGTATAACATTGTATATATTTGTAGATCCACTTTAAGTCATTCATTAACATAACTTTGGATCGTTACTTAAAGTTAATCAATTTCAAAGACAAATCTGCTCTATTATTTCAAGCACGTTTGAAAAGGGTCTGTAGCTGGTTAGAAAAATCAGAAAAGTTTAGAATAAAAAAATATTATACAATCATTTTTATGAAGGATACAAGACGTGAAAAATGACTTAATTATTTTTCAGAAGGATTCTAAAATATTTTCTGTGATTATTCACTCATTTATAAATAAGTAATTATTTATGTGTGCACAGTCTTTGACACTTTGTTACCTGGGCTTTACCTCTTTCTCAACAAGCCTGCTCCCTCCCTAAAGTGTAATTACAGACGCCCCTGAGCTCTTCTGTAATTACCTTTGGATTAAATCCTAAGTCTTCACACTTTGAACTAAAAATGGACCTTAGATATTAGAAGTTAGGGACTAAGGTGTTTTATTTTCTAACAATTTTTTTATATTTTTTTTAATATGGAGGTTGATTGTGTAATGCTTATGTAATTTTCTTTAGTTACATCATTGCAATCAAAATGTCCCTAATATAAGAAAGGTTTAAGTGAATCAATTAACCTATCACACTTTTTATTAAAGAATGCTTTGATAATTTGATGCTGTTTAATATGTCCTAAAAATAAAGATTCTTAACTTAATGTTTTGACTCGACCGTAGCTATTTAAGTAAATTCTTAGCAATAAGTGGATTACGCTCAAGAAATGTCCTTAGGGTGCCAATTCTTGCACCGGCGACACAAGCGCCATCTGATTGCTCTTTCTGAACTCCTGGGATTGGTAAAGACCTTTTCATAAATACGATGTCATTGGATTGCCAGTACCTGAGAGGAGGGAACAGATGGAAGGAAAAGCCATCTCAGTGAACAGTGACGTTAAGAGATTTACCTGCTGTTGAGCAAATTGGGATTTCATAATAAGCTTACATACACCTTTTGTGCAAGGTAGCACCTTTAATGTGTGGGGATTAAAAGAATATAATTAAAATAATAAAGAAAATAATTTAAGGAGCATCATTCAATTCATCATTGTAGCTTTCGTATAAGGAAAGGCTTATGTGCCCATGCGGTCACTGGGTTCCCAAGCCTGTTGGCCATCTGGAGCAGCAAGACTCCTGTTTTATCCCTATACTATTGTCTTTCTTTTTGCGTTTCCTTGATTTTTCAAGGAATGATGATGATGATGATGAAGCAGCCAACATTAAATGTTGTGTCCTTTTAGGCATAAGTTGAAAAAGAACAAATAAATGATTAATAATGGAAATCCTACAATATATACACACAGTTTTCTATCTAAAATTGTGTACAAAAATATGTGCAGTTCTATATTAAGGTACAGGGTGAATGGTCTATGTTTAGGCCTTCCACTTTGTTTTGTCTACTGGGCATTTAAAATACTCAGAGGAGGTCCTGACATCACTCACGGCTGTTTTGAAGTTTGACCCATTCCGCCTTGTGTAATATTTGCAGGTGTGAGTGTCCTGCTCATGTTCCAATTGCAGTCCAGCTGCTTTGACGTTTATAGGAATATTTTATTTACATTTATATCGTGAGGCCTTGTTAAATAAAAAGCTCAATTAGGTGATGGACATTTCATAGGACTAAACTTGAGGTCTTCGCCTCACTTTCTACTGTTTGTTTATTTATTTGTTTGTTTGTTTATTTATCCGATTAGCATAGACAAATTGATCAGTCTCCTGACATAATGCTTTACCAATTTTTATCTTTATTCTGAACTATATACAATGTATTTGTACTACAGTATAAGATTATGTATAAAAATAAATGAAATGTATTGCATTATATTATATTATATTATATTATATTATATTATATTATATTATATTATATTATATTATATTATATTATATTATATTATATTATATTATAAAAGTCATACTTTACCATAATTTATTTAGATGCTACTGTACATTCTTACATCCACCTCTGGTTAGACCATGAGGTGAGTAAAGCAGAGTACATAATTTATAAATAAGTTTAACTTGATGGTTTGGGTGAAGACAATGCTCCACACTGTGCCCATTTTAATCTTTAAAATCTGGAAAATCAGCTTATTGTTTGTTAATAACCTACTATTACAAGGGCTATGGGGCGGCAGTGGCTCATTGGTTCATGTAGGTTGTCTACAAACCAGAAGGTTGGTGGTTCAATCCCCGGTTGACCAAGTGTCGAGTGTCGAGGTGTCCATGAGCAAGACACCTAACCCCAGCTGCTCCCGACAAGCTGGATGGCACCTTGCATGGCAGACACCGCCGTCCGTGTGTGAATGGGTGAATGTGAGGCATTGTAAAGCGCTTTGGTGGCCATTGGGTCTGTGAAAGCGCTATATAAATGCAGTCCATTTACCATGACAAATCATTTTGATATAAAGCCAAAAATACACTGAAAAGTAAAACAAAATACAAAAACAAAGTAAAAACAAAAAACAATTTATTGCTTCAAGTCAATTGTAAATCTGACTAATTGAGATGCATAACCATGTCCCAATCCAGTCACAGTACTCTGTCATAATTCTCTTGTTTTAATAATTCTCTTCTCTTGTTTTCTTGTTTAATGTTTTCATTTCCAGGGATAGAAACTTCATACATTTTAGACTAAACCCTTGCAAGCTTCCCGTATTTCTTTGGTGTAATTCCCCATTTTTATTTGTATTTATAAACATTGCGTAGCCCTAAATAGCATGTTAAGTGTTTAATTGGATTGACAGAAAGACAACAGCATCTGAATCAGAGCAGCACAAGCCATCAGAGCAAAGGTCCGAGTATAAAACCCTTCGCCTCTGAGTCTCAACCGCACTCTCTGACTACACCAGACGGGCTGCGGATTACCAGAGAGAGGGAGCAGATCGCACTAACAGTCAACAGGTAAGATCTCAATGACTTTACATCAAAAAGTTCAGTAACAGGTATTCTGGTAACAATTCTACCTATCATCCTACAAAAGAAAGCAGGACACTATTGTGTTTAGTACAGTATTAAATTAACTTCCTTGAGTTCATTCAGCCCTCTTTCTCAGATTACCAGCAGGGCCTTGTGAATGTTCATTTAGCCTACATGTGTACAACCAATATTTGATTGCATTCAGACTGTCTTCCTGTGAAGAGCCACTCAATCAGCTAAATTGAAATTGGACAATGATGAGCATTAAGAACCTCATGATGTGCATTGGAGCTTTACAGCTGAGAGTATTCGATTTGTGCAAAAACATCTAAAAGGTCTCCACATTCTTTTGCATTTATAAAGGCCATTATAGTATATCCACAGTGTTTGACAGCCTCTTGGTAGCTCTTTTTTATTTTGAAACGTAGGCCTATATTGTGGTCACAACCTATATGATTTCTCTTCATGTTTGTTTTAGTCAAATATATATCCTGCCCATGCAATTTGCATTTAGAAATAAGCTTAAAGCCCATAAATTGGCATATTTAGAGAGGGTTACATCAAAGTATCTGAGTTCACTGGATGAGCAATGCCGTACAGCTAGGGGTATCTCTGTGCCAAGATTTGTTTGAGAGAAAAATAAGAGTAACAGTTGCTCTGCTGTTATCACTACATTCACAAGCACACATCATGTCTTGCAATAAAGAGTGGAGACATACACACATAAACACTCATGCAGTGAAAGCCATTTGTTTAAAAAATCACTCTTCATAAAATTAACTTTCCGATTTCATTTATTTCAGGAAAATCCTTGTACAATGGCAGACAAGTAAGTATTCTTTCCTCTTTCCTTTCACCTTTGAGAATTGTCACACTGCTCACATACAAAAAAAAAGTTTTCTAAACACATTTTACTGTTTTATTTAGCATTAGACTTGTTGTGCTTTTCAATACCAAAACAATTTATTAAAGATTTGGAGAAAGCCGAAAAGCAAATTATGCATAGCAACCTGCTGAACTCTAACATTGCTGGATCATACTTTTCACCATAGTATTTACCAAGTGCTTAGTTTGGAGTAACTCATTTTTATATTCTTTTTATATTTTCTATTAATATTGCATGCTTTTTTTTGTCACTTTCCAATTTTCTGTGCTTGTTAAATATTGGCCCGTCAGGTTATGTCTAAGAAATGACAAAGGGTCAATCCAAAGTGCAAATCACAATTAAAAATAAATAATTTAAAAATCATTTGAGAAATCAAAAATGAACAAACCACTTTATATGTCATGTCTAAGTAGGATAGGATAGGATATAGGATAGGATGGCAAAAATTACCGCAGAAGCATCACATAGTAAGAGAGAAAAAAACAATTGCTTTACATGCCACAATGAGGATGTTCTTGAAAGTTTAGAATAGATCTCATCATTTGGGAACATTGATTTGAGTCCAGCATGAACGTGTCATAAGCCGGCAGTCACAATCAATTACCAGGCATCCTCTTTGGAGTAAACACAAGCTGCCTCCATTTATGAAGCCTGGATTAATAGCAAAGGGCATTTCAGGCCTTGGCCTTAAAGTGTCTTAAAATACTAAGCTTTAACAACGTGATGATCGCTCAGGGCAAAAAGGTCAAACCTGATAACTCAAATACATTGCTGAGGTAGAGAGGTTAATACCTGAGGTATAGAACTAATAGGACAAGTGATCCCTGCTCACTCCTCTTTGACACCCTCTGCAGTGTATATATATATAGTCAGGCATTACAGAGTTACATTTTTGTAACACTTACTAATTTTATCTTGTTTTATCAGTGTTACTACACACTCCATGTATCTTACTGTTCCTTATTCACAATTTTCTTTTTTGTGTTTTCAGAGTTTACAAAAAGACCAGTGGAAGCGGCCAGGTACGACTAAAGTTAGCTGAAGATTTTTCAGTTGATTCTGAATTGAATTCCTCAATTTATTGTTACAAATTTATGCTTGAATTTTCATATTTCATTACATGGAAATAAATTAGTGTAATGCACTGTTTATGTTTCAGCTCACTCTCTACCTGGGGAAGAGAGACTTTGTTGACCATGTTGACTCAGTTGACCATGTTGGTGAGAAACTGCTTGCATTTATTTTTGAAACACAGACAACAGGTAATATCCAACAACTAAATAAGAATTGTTTCTTATTCTAAACAGAGGGTGTAGTGAAAATCGACCCTGCAGACCTTGAAGACAGAAAAGGTATTGTCAGGATTAAGTTTTTTTTATTTATATATATATATATATATATATTTAAATAATAAATAAATATTATATAAAAAGCATAGATAATACATTTAAATAACAAATTCATTTAATCATTCATACTTAAAATTATATGATTATGTTATTTTTCTCTAAAAAAAGGATGAAAAAGAATTAATAGAACAAATAAAAAACAATGCTTAATGTTGCTTCATGCAGTTTGGATTCAGCTGGCCTGCGCTTTCCGTTATGGTCGTGAAGACCTGGATGTGATTGGGCTTTCCTTCAGAAAAGACATCTGGATTCAGCACATACAGCTATATCCTGATGCAGGCCACAAACCCACCCTGACAGAGATGCACGACACTCTCCTAAAGAAAGCTGGAGAGCAGGGCCATCCCTTCACTTTTAATGTAAGTCATCAGCCAGCACCAACAACAGAATAATTCATTTACACTGTGAAAAGCACAGCAAAATAATACAGACAATCATTAGGAGTAATCATTTTACAAACCCCTTATAAATAAAAAATATAATTTGTACACCATTTGTCACAGAAAATGTCCTGATATAACTGATGTGACAAATTAAAATGAACTGTCTTTTTCTTTCAGATCCCCGCCAACCTCCCCTGCTCTGTTACGCTTCAGCCTGGCCCAGATGACAAAGGAAAGGTGAGATGAAATGAGAGCGAATTCAATATATTATCTTCAAATGGAAATGTGCTGAATGGACTTGCTCATGGCTCTGTTTTTGCAGGCTTGCGGTGTTGACTTTGAGGTCAAGGCCTACGTGGCCAAATCAGCTGATGACCCCGATGAGAAAATCGACAAGAAGTGAGTGTGTTATAGGTTATTTCGCACATTTACCCCCTGTTAACAATTTTTACAAATAATGTTTTTCTCTCGTCTCTCTCAGGGACACTTGCCGCCTTATCATTCGTAAAATCCAGTTCGCTCCTGATAACACAGGATCTGGACAGAAAGCTGAGATCTGCAAGAGCTTTATGATGTCTGATAAGCCTGTTCTTCTGGAAGCCTCTCTGGACAAGGAGGTGTGTAAACTATGACGAACTGTATGCTTTGATATTTACCAAATCAAGAAGAAATTCATGTGTCTTTTTCCCATTGATGACAGATCTACTACCACGGTGATCCCATCCCCATCAACATTAAGGTCAAGAACGAGACAAACAAAGTTGTGAAGAAAATAAAGGTTACAGGTGAGATTGATCAAAAGCAAAGCAAAGTATAACCCCTGACAGGATTATTGTACCATACTTCTTTTGCTATAATGACCAGTTGACTGTATATTATCCTATTACATGACTACTTCCAAATAAATCAATAAATGCACATCAAATATTGATTTAAGTTATTTTAAGATGATTGATTTAAGTTATATATATATATATATATATATATATATATAGTCAAGCATTCCATCGGGGGGTATAATAAATATAGCAGTATATTTGAATGAACTGATGTTGTATCCATTACTCTCATAGTTGACCAAACCACAGACGTGGTTCTCTACTCAGCCGACAAATACACCAAGAATGTGCTGAGTGAAGAGTTTGGGTGAGTGTCATTTTCTTTGACTGTGATATGCACGTATGTCAGCCATAGCGAAGGTCTCTTCAATTATCAGTTGTAAGTTATCTAACCTATATGATTCAATTTTTTTCTGCAGGGAAACTATAGAAGGGAGTGCAAATTTTGAAAAATCCCTCGCGATCACTCCTTTGCTGTCATCCAACAAGGAGAAGCGTGGCCTGGCACTGGACGGCAGGCTTAAAGATGAAGACACCAATTTGGCCTCAACCACTATGTAAGTGTTTGTTTCATCTTCAAACAGAGTTTTACAGAACGCCCAATAGAGTTACACATAATCCAGTTATAAAAAAATAAAATATTTTTGGGCTGTAATGAACTGCTCTCAATACAGCACATTCGCTTTGATACTATACTGTGAACTCTGCTAATTATTCATTTACTTTTCCGTCCTTTCTTCAGAATAAGGGCAGGAATGGATAAGGAAATTTTGGGAATTTTGGTGTCCTACAAGATCAAAGTTAACCTCATGGTATCAGGTGGAGGGTAAGGATTTCTTTCTTTGAGATATCTGTCCAGTTTATGCTAAACTCACAATAACAAATAAATTATTGTTTCAATAATAATAATTATTATTATTATTATATGAACATACATATATTTAAATGCACACACAAACACACACACAATAATTATTATTATTGTAACAATATGTTAACTAAAATGATATATAATTTATACTTATCTGTTTCTGCTCTCCTTTTTTGCAGTCTGCTGGGAGGACTGACAGCAAGGTAGGTCAAAAATGAGAAAACATTTTAAATGCATTATGGGAAATCATAAATGGCCTTTATCTAACCTGTTGTTTTCTCCTTACAGTGATGTGACAGTAGAGCTGCCTCTGACCCTGATGCACCCCAAACCCAAAGGTAATCAAGCACCCGCTTTTCTCTTCATTCTTGCCATGGCCAAACGTGGTCTACCAGGGTTTTTTGCCGTGAAGTATCTCACTCAATTTTTTTTGTCTCCCTCTGATTATAACAGACTGAATGCCCGTGTAAGATTCCACAGGACAGACGTTACCCTCAAGTACATTCCCTCACAGCAAGACAGCACAGGAAAAAGTCACATGTCTCCCCATTAAGCAAAGAAGGCGTCTCAGACAATGCCAGGAGTATATCATAACATCTTCTTGGTGAAAGTGCTCCCTGATGGTCATCATATTTCCTATACATTAGCCCATAGTTTACAAAGTGTGTCTGAGTGAGGAATTTCAAAATGTATGGTGTTTGATCACTTCATTATGTATGCTTGTGTTAACTTGTCTTGCCTAGAGTATAGTCATTTAAATCACAGCAACTCACGTGACTTTGTGTAATGTTTGTTTTGTCATGTGTGGAATTTTTGACTCTTGAGTCATTAAACCAAATAAAATACCTCCAAAACCTTCATGGACATTGTGTTTATATGGATTGGTATAAATGATAAAACACTAAATGGTAAACGTGTGAATATAGTTTAAAGGGTTTCATTCGTTAACATTAATGAACAATTCTTCTGCTTCATTTGTTAATCTCAACATTTACTAATACATTTTGAAGATCAAAAGATGAACTATCATGAATGTGAACATTTTTATTAACTAACATTAACAAAGGTTAATTAATGCTGTTTATTGCTCATAATTAGTTCATAGTTACTGCTTCAACAAATGAGACCTTGTAAAGTTTTACCCTTGAACTTTAGAGAATTGATAGACTGACAACTGATGAAATAGGGAAGTAGCAAACTGCTGTTGTTCGAAGATTTTCAGACTATTTGTTGGTCAGAACAATACACAGTTACTGGGGCATGTTGTCACAAAAGGTTATTGTGTCCAATATAAGCTACAGCCTACCTTTTTTTTCTGGCCAGTATTAGTGCCCAAATTTTAAGCAGTGACAGAAAACTATCTGAAAATCTCTTCTTAATGACATGACACAGAACAAGTCAGAAAATACACTTTCACATACAAAAAACATTATGCATAACCAAGAATTCAGAGACTGGAGATACATAATTCAAATTGTCTTGCCCTAATCTTGTTCTTAATAATTACAACCATCTCATCAGTGTTTTTATAGTCCAATGATGATCCAAAATCTGGATTATAGGTCAGATGTCAATTTAATGTTAATGGGGGTTGAGAGACTTAATACTATAATATTTACAATATCTATATAAATCCATTTTATTATTATACTAAAACTGTCAATGCAAAACTTCACTCTAACTTTTTTTTTTTTTTTTGTACAGTTTTCTTTGTAGTACTCTTCATCACTAACTGTGATTTAACAGCATTTAGCATGTGGGACTGTAAGCTGTTAAACCTTAGATTTTTAATCACAGGTGGATCTGTAGTAATCTGCACTTAGCATGGGTTTACTTAAAGCATATTACTGGTATGAGAGAGGGGCTCAGAACCCTGACCTAAGGGTTAGGTTTTTTTTAGGAGAGCACAACAAACAATGAACAAACTCACAGCCAAGATATCTCCTTCCTCCGGACCCCTACCCATCACACTTCACCTGCCTGCACCAGGTAATGTTGTTTTTTTAGCTCTGCGTAGTTTACTGTATTTTAGATGTTTTAGATATTATTTCCATTGCACAAAAGGATCTTTATAGCTAATTTTTTTTTTTTGTGGGAGATTTTATCTAAATATCAAGGAAATATTTTTCACACTAAAAAAAAAAAAGGTTATTTTAAGAGCTGTTCACTGAAAGGTTATGGGGAACCAAAAATGGTTATTCTATGGCACTCTTATGGCACACTTCCAGAGTGTATGGAAATCTATCAAATGTAGAAGTAGGAAACTGTGACAATTGTAATTCTCTAAATGACTTGTCTTTGTTTTTCTTAGTAAGTGAGAAGGATCCCCAGGAACAGAACTTAGTTGAGGATGAATCTGATGCAGAAAGACCATTTAAACGTTGCTGCACTCGATGGCCATTCCGAGCTGTACGGAGGGTGACCTGTGGCCTCATTTTAGGGGCTTGTGTGGCTGTTTCCTGGGCCTGGGGTACTCACAGTGCTAAAGAAACTCTGATAAAACATCCAACCCCTTTCTTTATCATTTGGTTCTGTAGCATCTGGAACATTCTCTTTTTTCCCTTCTACTATCTGTGTCATCTTCTCACGGAGAAACAGAAGCAGTTGCCAACCACCGAGTTCAGGTCAGAAGAAAACATTTCAAATGAACACTGGATTGTTTTAAATGATCTTCATGACTTGCTCATGTTAGGATGTTTGGCAGTCCAGTATTCATTTGCTATAGTGCTTAAGCAATTAAATCAAGTAAAATGAACGTTATTGTACTGTATATCATTCTTATTTTGACTTAATGTTCTGAAAGCTGTTTAGTGCAAGCTGCTTTCAGTCCCTAATCCTCCCAGCTTCTAGTACAGCTAAACAAATTGCCACTTTATTAATTAATCTATGCCTGGCCAACAACCAATAATGAGTGCAAAGTCATAATTGAAACTGGCTGGCAGTTGTTGGTATAACAGCAAAACCTTCAGCATTATCATTTGGGGATAGGTTAAAGCTTTATTATAAATCGTACTGCATGCACAGAGTCCTGACTAAGCTGTATTTTTACACATGGGGTTTAGGCCGTTCTATTAATAAAACTGCATACATTCATCTTTAGTGAAAGAATTGTGGATATTGGTTTTTGTTGCAGAAAATTCACATGCAAATAAATCATTATTTGAATTAATTGACAGGGGTAGGCTACAGGGGCAAGTTTTTATTACAATTAATATGTCTCAAATTTATTTTCAGACTTACTGACCTTTTGTGACAACATGCCCCAACAGTGAGACATTGTTTTGACCCATGCAAATTTTAAGTAATACATTTTGTACAATGTTTACATTTTGGATCATTTACTTCTAACCCTAACCCTAATTTTCAAATTAGAAGTTTTACAAACACTCTGCTAGAGAAAACACATATTTATAAAACTGATAATTCCGGTCCTTGATTTAATTGGTTGAGCTGCGTTGTAAATTACTCTACAAACATAGCCTACACCAAAATAAATATTAAAATAAGTATTTTTATGGATTAACCGTTTTATAAAACCAATAGGCCCTGTGAAGCCACGTCGTGCCTAACAACGGCCTTTAACTGAATTCACTGTAAACCACGGCTTGGGGCTTATTGCTTTGTTGTATTATTGGACTTTTGGATTAGGCTAATGACTGAGATAAAGCTCCTGTGACTACTTGCCCCAGTCTACCCTATTTCTCGTCTGAAAGAATAAGTGATAGAGACTCTTGTGTTGTGCGATCATTTTGATGTGACATGCTGCTGGCATTCTATTCTCTTTTGACGTACAGAAAATGTAGTCAATTCCTGGGTGAAGAACTGACCGTTAGGATTGTTCTGAAAGGAGCAGCTCCATTCTCTGTGCTATGGAGTTTATCTGGTTATTTGTACTTATTGGCGCTTTGCCGCATATCCAAAGTGGACGTAAGTGCCGTTCTCTGCTGCAGCCCAGCTTTTACTTTCCTCCTTTCATGGATCGGACTCAAGGACCGCTTCATGGGTGTCAGGGTGAGCAATCAAACATGATAGCGGGTGTGTGTGTGTGTGTGTGTGTGTGTGTGTGAAAGGCAATTCATTGAGGCAATCACAAATATTTATTTATTTATTTTAATTTCTATTTAGGTAGTAGCTGCCGTCCTGTCCATTACTGGCATTGTTATTTTGGTCTATGGGGATGGTTTTCACAGCGACTCAATCACAGGAGTGGCACTGGGAGTTGGCTCAGCTTCAACTTCTGCTTTATTCAAGGTCAGCACTTGAGGTGGGGATTTTAATTCATCCCATGTGACTCTTTTGAATCCGAAAAAGATTCGTTCATCATAAAGATTCTTTCTGAAACGTTCACTTTCGTTTAGTGACTTACCGTGTCACATTGTTACTGCACGTACATCAGAGACGTCTATTTCATGAGTGTGTTTACATCTGGATGACATCTTTTTTAGAGTGTTTGCTCATCTGCAATACGTCTATAGGACGTTTCCTGTCAGATGTCTTTAAGATGTAATGATTTAGAATGTATGTTAAACTGACATCTTAAAGATGTCTATCAAGTAAATAGCAGATGCTTTCCAGATGAAGTGATCTTTAACAGACATCTTGCAGACACGTGTGCTATCTGGGTACAGTAGGTGGAACGAGTCATTGAATTATTAATTTAGCCCATTTGTAACAAATCTGAGCCATTTACAACCGAAACAATTATCCGTTCTTAAAATGACTAATTCACTACAAAACTCTAGAAGACTGCGTGAGGTTAAGAAATTAATTTAAATCTAAAAGTGCTTAAACAACTGAAAAAAAAAAAATTTCTGCAGTTTTACTTTAATAACTGGTGGCTTCATGTCTCAGGTGCTTTTCAGAAAGCGTGTAGGGAATGTCCATCCAGGCCCTGCCAGTGTGTTACTCTCCTGCGTGGGTCTGTGTAGTTTCGTCCTCCACTCCTGGGTGTGTGTATTACTTTATTTCACACATGTGGAATACTGGCCTCCCTCCCAGCACATCCCCTGGGATAAACTCTTTGTCATGGCTTCTCTACTGCTTGGTAACTTATGCTTTTGTTTTCCACTATCCATTATGTAATAATGATTGCACACATTTATTGTTTATAAATTCTGAAGTTAGAAAATTAAAAAAATACTTAGGCTATGTGTTATATTTGATTGTATTTCAATGATATTTTAAATGATATTATATTTATTATTAATTTAAAGTTTTTATAATTTCATAATTTATTGTTGATATTATTACTAATATTATTAAATATTCAAAACAAAATAGGTCAGATTTTTATTTGACATATAACTTTTAACTATTTTTTGTCCTGTTTTCTCCTAAGTTTTCAATGTGCTGGTAAATCTGGGAGGAATGTTTACGTACCCCAGTTTAATTTCTCTGGGAATTCTCTTGACCATCCCAGCGAGTGCAGGTATGTATTTGTACATAAATAAACAAAAAATAGACCTTCTGAAGCCTCACAGATATGTGAAATAGAGTGCTGCAGTGATTTCGTAGAAGTTAGCATCACCCTGGTTCCCTCGTCAAAAGACCCAATAGGATTTTTCCATTGGCTTTTGGATTATTGCATAAATAAGCTCTGCGACCAACAAAAGTTTATGATTCTCATACGTTTTGTTCATCATGATATATTTTATGTTGTAGAATAAAATGTTAAAGTATCTTGAGCTTGTGTAAACCGCTGACCTCCATCTATCCATCTTCTTCCGCTTATCCGGGGCCGGGTCGCGGGGGCAGCAGTCTAAGCAGAGATGCCCAGACTTCCCTCTCCCTAGACACTTCCTCCAGCTCTTCCGGGGGGACACCGAGGCGTTCCCAGGCCAGCCGGGAGACATAGTCTCTCCAGCGTGTCCTAGGTCTTCCCCGGGGTCTCCTCCCAGTGGGACGTGCCCGGAACACCTCCCCGGGAAGGCGTCCAGGAGGCATCCGAAACAGATGCCCGAGCCACCTCAGCTGACCCCTCTCGATGTGGAGGAGCAGCGGCTCTACTCTGAGCTCCTCTCGAGTGACCGAGCCCCTCACCCTATCTCTAAGGGATCGCCCAGCCACCCTGCGGAGAAAGCTCATTTCGGCCGCCTGTATCCGGGATCTTGTCCTTTCGGTCATGACCCAAAGCTCATGACCATAGGTGAGAGTAGGAACGTAGATTGACCGGTAAATCGAGAGCTTTGCCTTACGGCTCAGCTCTTTCTTCACCACAACAGACCGGTACATCGACCGCATTACTGCAGAAGCTGCACCGATCCGTCTGTCAATCTCCCGTTCCATCCTTCCCTCACTCGTGAACAAAACCCCAAGATACTTAAACTCCTCCACTTGAGGAAGGATCTCTCCACCAACCTGAAGGGAGCAAGCCGCCCTTTTCCGACTGAGGACCATGGCCTCGGATTTGGAGGTGCTGATTCTCATCCCAGCCGCTTCACACTCGGCTGCAAACCGTCCCAGTGCATGCTGAAGGTCCTGGTGTGAAAGGGCCAACACGACAACATCATCCGCAAAAAGCAGAGACGAAATCACGTGGTCCCCAAACCTGACACCCTCCGGCCCCTGGCTGCGCCTAGAAATTCTGTCCATAAAAATTATGAACAGAACCGGCGACTAAGGGTAGCCCTGCCGGTGTCCAACATGCCCCGGGAAGAAGTCTGACTTACTACCGGCAATGCGAACCAAGCTCCTTCTTCGGTCATACAGGGATCGGACAGCCCTTAGCAAAGGACCCGGGACCCCATACTCCCGGAGCACCCTCCACAGGCCGCCTCGGGGGACACAGTCGAATGCCTTCTCCAAATCCACAAAGCACATGTGGACTGGTTGGGCAAACTCCCATGAACCCTCCAGCACCCTGTAGAGGGTATAGAGCTGGTCCAGTGTTCCACGGCCTGGACGAAAACCGCACTGTTCCTCCTGAATCCGAGGTTCCACTATCGGCCGTATTCTCCTCTCCAGTACCCTGGCATAGACTTTCCCAGGGAGGCTGAGAAGTGTGATCCCCCTGTAGTTGGAACACACCCTCCGGTCCCCCTTCTTAAAAAGAGGGACCACCACCCCGGTCTGCCATCCCAGAGGCACTGTCCCCGACCGCCACGTGATGCTGCAGAGGCGTGTCAGCCAAGACAGCCCCACAACATCCAGAGACTTGAGGTACTCAGGGCGGATCTCATCCACCCCCGGTGCCTTGCCACCGAGGAGTTTCTTGACTACCTCGGTGACCTCAGCTAGGGTGATGGACGAGTCCACCTCTGAGCCCTCAGCCTCTGCTTCCTCAATAGAAGACATGACGGCGGGATTGAGGAGATCCTCGAAGTATTCCTTCCACCGTCTGACGACATCCCCATTTGAGGTCAACAGCCGCCCACCTCCACTGTAAACAGCGTTGGTAGGGCACTGTTTCCCTCTCCTGAGGCGCCGGACAGTTTGCCAGAATCTCTTCGAGGCCAGCCGATAGTCCTTCTCCATGGCCTCACCGAACTCCTCCCAGGCCCGAGTTTTTGCCTCCACAACCACCCGGGCTGCAGTCCGCTTGGCCTGCCGGTACCTGTCAGCTGCCTCAGGAGTCCCACAAGCCAACCAGGCCCGATAGGACTCCTTCTTCAGCTTGACGGCATCCTTTACTTCCGGTGTCCACCACCGGGTTCGGGGATTGCCGCCTCGACAGGCACCGGAGACCTTACGGCCACAGCTCCGAGCCACCGCTTTGACAATGGAGGTGGAGAACATGGTCCACTCAGACTCAATATCTCCAGCCTCCCTCGGGATCCGGTCGTGGCTCTGCCAGAGGTGGGAGTTGAAGATCTCTCTGACAGGAGATTCGGCCAAACGTTCCCAGCAAACCCTTACAGTACGCTTGGGTCTGCCGTGTCTGTCCAGCTTCCTCCCCCGCCATCGGATCCAACTCACCACCAGGTGGTGATCAGTTGACAGCTCCGCCCCTCTCTTCACCCGAGTGTCCAAGACATACGGCCGCAGGTCAGATGAAACGACCACAAAGTCGATCATCGACCTACGACCTAGGGTGTCCTGGTGCCACGTGCACTGGTGGACACCCTTATGCTTGAACATGGTGTTCGTTATGGACAAACTGTAACTAGCACAGAAGTCCAATAACTGAACACCGCTCGGGTTCAGGTCGGGGGGGCCGTTCCTCCCAATCACGCCCCTCCAGGTGTCACTGTCGCTGCCCACGTGAGCGTTGAAGTCCCCCAGTAGAACGACGGAGTCCCCAGTCGGAGCACTTTCCAGCACTCCTCCCAGAGACCCCAAGAAGGCCGGGTACTCTGCACTGCCGTTCGGCCCGTAGGCACACACGACAGTGAGAGACCTATCCCCGACCCGTAGGCGCAGGGAAACGACCCTCTCGTTCACCGGGGTAAACTCCAACACATGGCGGCTGAGCTGGGGGGCTATAAGCAAACCCACACCAGCCCGTCGCCTCTCACCATGGGCAACTCCAGAGTGGTGAAGAGTCCATCCTCTCTCAAGGAGTGTGGTTCCAGAGCCCAAGCCATGCGTAGAGGTGATCCCGACTATCTCTAGTCGGAACCTCTCAACCTCACGCACGATCTCAGGCTCCTTCCCCGCCAGCGAGGTGATGTTCCACGTCCCTAAGGCTAGTTTCCGTGTCCAGGGATCGGGTCGTCGAGGCCCCCGCCTTCGACTGCCGCCCGAACCTCTCTGCACCGGCCCCATACGGCTCTTCCTGCAGGTGGTGAGCCCACGGGAAGGCGGTCCCACGTCGCTCCTTCGGGCTGAGCCCGGCCGGACCCCGTGGGAAGAGGCCCGGCCACCAGGCGCTCGCATACGAGCCCCAACCCCGGGCCTGGCTCCAGGGTGGGGCCCCGGCTGCGCCATACCGGGCGACGTCACAGTCCTTGAATTGTTGTCCATCATAAGGGGTTTTTGAACCGCTCTTAGTCTGACCCGTCGCCTAGGACCTGTTTGCCTTGGGAGACCCTACCAGGGGCATATAGCCCCAGACAACATAGCTCCTAGGGTCATTCGGGTACTCAAACCCCTCCACCACGTTAAGGTGGCAGTTCAAGGAGGGGAAGTGATACTAGTCCAGTGGGGCCGACCGCTGACCTTATAACCGCTGACCTTATTTCAGGCATTTAACCAAAAACCCATTCAAAAACCCCATTGACTTTTGACAGAAAGTGCTAAAATGCTAACTCTTGTCCAGGTTTTGGCCTACAAAACGTCATCCCTGCAGCACTCCATAGGCCTAGATGTATAAAAATGATCGGACATGTAAAGCATTTAATTTCTGTGTTTGCACCTTGCATATTTTTCCATGCTCAAGTCTATTGCCCTCTCTCTCTTTCTCAAGCTGTAGATACATTTGTGACCGTAACTCTGCACATTAGCCATGTGCGAGCAGCAGCAGCCAGCATCATCTCAGCAGGGTATCTCATGCTGCAGCTTCCAGAAAACTGGGATGAGAGCACTTTGCGCTGGCTCAGCACACTGTGGCGTGGAAACTGGCGAGAGGACAGTGTCCTTGGAGAGGAGACTGTAGGGGACCCTGCTGGGATTGCACGAGCAAAACCCAAACCAGCCATATTGGCACTCAGCTGAGACTATTATTAGAACAATTGAGCGTTGGTCTGATGTGTAATTGCAACTATTCACATTGTAGTTCTGTTTTCATTTCATGTTGTTTGAAATTCAAAATGTCTTTATTAGCTGCTGACACACCAGATGATAGTAAGATAATAAGAAAGATTATAATAAAAAAATGTTTAAACTTTACAATAATGTTCAATTAGTTAACATTACACTCTTAGAAAAAAAGTTAAATGATGTTTATGTTCTACAAACCTCATATGCATTAACTAACATTACATAACAATGAGAATGTAACATTTGTTACAGTATTTATTCATCTTTGTTAACAGTAATTAAAAAAATACAACTTCTCATTGTGATTTCATGTCAGCTCATGTTCATGAAATAATATTAACAGATACAACTTAAATCTTTAGAAGGTTTTTTTTGTGCATGTTGTTAATAATGTGGATGGAACAAATGGAATTGTAAAGTGTTAGCAACAAAATGAAAGCCAATAAGTTGTACATTTTATTTATTTAAAGGAAGATTGTAATAAATTATATATTACATTTTTAAAAATTCTCTAATAATTCAAAAATTATATTAAAGTTAAAAAATGTGTAAGCTATCAAAATCCTAAAACTTTCTTTATTTCCAGTTTTAGTGAAAACAAAATGTCAGATTTTCAATGTGGTCATGGTCAATAAAAGTGAAAACAAAACTGCATGAGTCAGGACCATAGGTCAGGACCTACATTCAGCTCGCTAGATGGCGCCAGTCCATTTTCTCATCACTTTACACACACATTTCACCGCTGATGTTTCGAGCAGCAGGAAACGTTATCTGTGTTGTGAGGCGGCTGATGAGGAAAGCATGGCCCTTAACGCAGGTAAAATGTGTTTTGCTTATTCTGTTGTTGACTTCCCTATTTATATCTCTCAATAATCTTCAGTCACTTCACATACTTCCGTCGTGCTAAAGTAGTGCACGTGCAGACGCGCTAAAATAACATCTCACGCTAGCAGGTTAGCGCTTCAAGGTCTGTCGGTATGGGTGTGTAGCTTTAATTTATTCGAAATATCTAGGTCTTTACAATGCCTTTATCATAAATGATTATTAGTGACAAACTTATTTTATACAGTCTTTGGACAACCGAACCTAAAGTCGTGTAACTGTCTGAAATCTCCAAACACATGGATGTTAGCTGGCTGGCTGTTTGTCATCTGTACATTAATGACACACACATGAGGAATCCATGTGCTTTGATGAATCTAGATGAAGACTTTGAATGGGAACCTCCCTCCGAGGCGGAGATGAAGGTGATTCAGGCTCGACGGGAGCGGCAGGACAAAATCAGCAAGCTGATGGGAGACTATCTGCTGAAGGGATATAAGATGCTGGGGGATTGCTGTGAGCTGTGTGGGGTGAGAGTAAAACACTTTACATTCACTCATCAGTGACTTCATAACATTATTGTCATTATTGTTAATATACATGTATAATCATAATATATATAAACATTACATAATATATATATATATATGTATATATATACACACACACACACGTATTGAGGTGCCATATTTAAAAACTGTAAGTATGCCCTAATATTTAAATTCTGGCCAGTAATTTTATATATATATATATATATATATATATATATATATATATATATATATATATATGTATTACTGGCTAGAATTGTAATATTAGGACATATACGTATATTGTATATGCCGTAATATTACAATTCTGGCCAGTAATACATTATATATATATATATATATATATATATATATATTAGTGCTGGGCAAGTTAACGCGTTATTATCGCGTTAACGCATTTATTAATTAATGCCGACAAATTTTTTATCGCGCGTTAACGCAGAGGTTTTTTTTTTTTTTTTGAAAGTCCGTTGCTCACTGCCTCTGAATACAAATAGGCCTACAGTCAAACCATGATCACAGGAGGGGTGGGATGTTAGTCAGCCAGCAAATAACCCACCCAAACAAGCAGTGGAGAGGCTTTGGCAGGTTCTCTCAAGTGAACAGAAAGGGAGACAGCGCTCCGCGAGTGAATGACAGGCGCTCTATGGATAGTAAGCATGGCACCGGCTTCTGTGCGCTACGCAGCTGCGCCTTTTTAACTTAAATTAAAATTATACATAACTTTACCTGATAGGCCTGCGTTTAGTTTAGCGGGGATGCTCTGCCATGTGAATTCCCTCCTGTTGATGTCCTGATAACTATTTAGATTCTGGAAACTCACAAACAGCGAGCCGAGGATCAGTCTCTCTTCCAATGATTTGTGCTGCGCGTCGTGTACAAAAAAGTTAGACAATTCAACTTCGGCAACGCGCGGGCGCGTGCGTGAGGCGAGCATGACTGCAACAGTTTCACAGGAACGCACCCGCTTGTCGCTGCACCTGTGCTCGACCACTTCACCTCACTCTAGGCTGATTTATACTTCTGCGTCGGACTTACGCCGGAGCCTCTACGCTATAGACAACGCGTTGGTTTTCATTTATATTATATCTGCGTCGTTGTCCGCGTTGACGCGCAATTACACATGAGGGAGAGTGTGAAACCCGGGGAGCGGTTCTAGCAATCACAGCGCTTGCGGTACGCGTAGAATTGACGTTACATTTCTGGAGAGATGCACGTCAGGGTACGCGCGCTACACAGCTACGGCGTGAGTTCGATGCAGAAGTATAAATTGGGCTTTACCTCTGTTTAATGTAATCTTACGTGGGAAACCATGGCATGCCATGACCAAACCTAAGCTGCTATCAGAGAAGTAACGTTGTTCGACTTATATCTGTAGTAGTGATCATGACCCTTTGACTACATAGACTGTTTCTGCTGCTCCCTGATACAAGATACCTGTTCAGAAAAAAAAAGAAAAGAAAACTGGACTCGTTTTAACAAGCTAGATAAAAGGTAATGCCCTGGCAGTGGCAAATAGCTTTGTTTAAATATTTGATTTGATTACATTAATGTTTAAGTTGAGATTTACAAGAAATATTTTATTGATACTGTGTAAAGGGAATACTGCTGGTGTAAAAGCACCTTATTTGTTTAAAGTTTTTGCAAACCACATGTTATTGCACTTTTGTAGCAGTACATTTAAATCAAAAGTGCGCAATACACTACTAGAATTCATTATTCAATTTTGCGCGTAACAATGCGATTAATCGCGATTAATCGCAAGAAAATCATGCGATTAATCGCGATTAAATTTTTTAATCGTTGCCCAGCACTAATATATATATATATATTAATGGCCAGAATTGTAATATTAGGGCATATACAATATGTATATGCCCTAATATTACAATTCTGGCCAGTAATACATTATATATGTGTCTGTATGTGTGTGTATATTTTATATATATATATATATATATATATAGCCTATATGTATATTATTACTGGCCAGAATTGTATATATTAGGGCATATACTATATATATATATATATATATATATATATATATATATATATATATGAAGAGTTCAGATGCAAAACCCTCTAAATCCGTCAGACTTATTTTCTTTAAATGAGCATTTTTTATCAGGCTCCTATGTTCACGTCCAGTAGTTTCATTTTAAAGGTACTGATAAGGTTATTAGTCATTGAATAAAATAACTTTTTTTCAAAAATGTCACTTGAGTCAATTCAGTGATTTTTAACAAATTCGATTTTCTTTTGCGTCAAAAACAGCTAAATCCACTTGTGCTTTTTTCGCAAAAACCTCTAAATCCACCTCTTTGGGACAAGACATAGTAAATAGCTGAAAAATCAATAAAAATGTAACTAGAAACACTGAAAAAGATTAGAGCACATTCATTTCAAAACTAAACAGTAGACACACCTCTTTACAGGGGGGCTGAATGAGATCTGCGATTATTTGCAAATCCCACCCCATTTCTCTGCAGTCACCTTTCTGCCCTGTCTGAATAAAGACAAAAGCCCCCCCCCCCCCCCCCCCGATTCACACAGTACAACCACATTGGCAAAAAGAATTGGCGATTAAAATAGTTTAATAGTTTTAGTTTGTATAATCAAGTAGAACAGAGCAACATTCTTAAACATCAATATCTGTGCATTTTGTATAAGAAGCTTATAAGACTTAAATAATGTAAAGTAATATTATAATGTATATCTCAAGTATAATAAATCAAATTCCTTCAAAGTTACAGCACTGCACCAAGAACTGTTATGAGTGCATGCTACACTTGCGACCAAGCTATTTTCACTGTAAAGTTACCGATTTTCTTTTGCCTTGTAAATTAACGGGAAGAGTTTTGAGGTAGATAAACGACGTTCTCTTCTGCCTTTTGATGTCAGTAGGACAGGCTCCTCCATTTCATCGTACTCCATCTTAAAAATGTAAAAAATCTGAATCCAAAAACAAAATCTCCTCAGCCGTCTCAAAAAATCCGTCTCCTCAGCGCACCGCTCTATTGAAATAGCCTGTACTGATTCGCGCGGCTCGCGCCTTCTGATTGGTTCTCGGGATGTAGTGGCTTTTGCTGCCAAAGGGAAGTGGCGTCTAGAGGCTTTTGCCGACAAACTGATATTTCTGAATGGGCTGAGGCTGAGATTTCGAGGATTTGAAGCAAATATATTTGTTGAACGTGTACTGTGTTCAGATAGCTTTCACTCAATGTCATTATCTCATTTTTGACGGAGGTGGCGTTTAGAGGCTTTTGCATCTGAACTCTTCATATATATATATATAAACAGTAAGATTTTAAATAAATTAATACTTGTATTCACCAAGGATGCTTTAAAGACCATATGCAATCTTATTTTTTATGGAATATTCAGTATTTATAAAAGATTTATCCATGGACATCACTATTTTTCTACAATTGATTTACCCTCGTATTGACAATGATCCAATTAGCCTTTCTCACACTTCCGGGTTTTTGGCTTCCGGATTGGTGCACACAGGGTAAACTTATTTTTCCGGTTATAGCAATGGCTGAGCCTAACAAGAATAAATGTGGCAATAGAATTCTTTTTACACATTAAAAATAATTGCTCTGCTGCTTGATTGAGAACCAGGACCGGTCACACCCTGCCTGGACAATGTCTGTAAATATGCACTATAATATCTGATGTAATACTTGCAGCACATCATAAATAATAATAATAATGTTGTTATTTGTATTATTTAAGTAATGTTGTATTTATTGTATTTATTCTCCTTTGCACTAATAATATGCCTCAGGAAGTAAGATATAAATAAGAAATGAGAATTTATTCTATTGGGATTAGCATTGTTCTGAATTTAATACATACTTAAATTGGACTCTGGATAATTGTTTGTTTAATTTATCCTTGGGGGGAAATTGTGCATTTGTAGTCTCGGAAGAAATAATTTCTCATGGTGTGGTGATGCGAGGAAATTTACTGAATAGTCAATATTTCAGTTAATGACACGGCAGCCGGTGAATACAAACCAACCATGGCACATTTGAGCGTAATATCTCAATGAGTCAGCAGTCTGAGGGGCCGTGGAAGTTACAAACAAGTAAAACCTTATTTAATCTGTAGATTATATAACAACAACTTGGAAAACAGACAAAAAAGAAAAGGTAGGAAATGTTATTTGAGAAAAGTTCATACTAATATAATAGGCGCAGACCCGTAGCGAAAGTAACTTTACCCTGTGTGACATAGTTTCCGATTCCATGTGAAAAAGGCTAATCAATTACTTATGGACAAAATCGAGTACCGTACCGTATTTTTATTTTTTATTTTTTATTTTTTGAAAAGCCGTTTCCCTGAAAGGCTGCTCACTGCAGAGCCATGGGTGGAGCGTGAAGTCCAGTTTCCCCTTTCTGGATGTAATTTGGTCATAATGGGTGGAGCTAGAAGGTCTGACCTCTTCCTAACCCTACCCAACAGCACTGGACTAGGTCAAGCTCAACCCATGACATCCAGAGAGATGGAGCTGGACGTCATTTGGCTCTGTAGTGAGCACCACTTTGTGTCACTCGGATGTGCTTTAAATTGTTCAAAAGTGACACTACAGACATTTAAATGTAACAAAAATATTTTTATTGTACTTTTGATCTAAAAATCCAGAAAAAAATCTATCACGGTTTCCACAAATATTTTAAGCAATACAACTGTTTTCAACATTGATAATAATAAGAAATGTTTATTGAGCAACAAATCAGGATGATTTTGGAAGGATTATGTGGCACTCAAAGTAATGATGCTGCAACTTCAACTTTACCATCACAGGAAGAAATCTCATTTAACATTAAATTAGAAAAACGTTAAATTGTAATAATATTGCACAATATTACTGTTATGTTATGATAATCTAATATTAAATATCCGATATCTGCCAATACCAATAAAAAAAATCTGATTTAAACCTTGAAATAAACCTCTTTTTTTCTTTTCTTTTCTTATTAAGAGAAAAGAGATTTCTTTTCTATTTCTTATTTTAAAATTATTTTAAAAGTCAGTTCATCTTTTCACTGAAATTATGCTGATAAATGTAATTTCTAATTGGGTGGGAGAGAAACATAAGCATTGTACTAGCATTCTCAGGTGTTTAGACCTCTGGAATTATAATAATTAATATTTATTTATTTTTGATTGTATGAATTAAGGAATGCAATGAATTGTCCTATATATTTGCAGACAATTCTGCTGCAAGATAAGCAGAAGAAATATTACTGTGTTGCTTGTCAAGAGCTGGACTCCGATGTTGACAAGGACAACCCAGGTACGTTTAGATGCAGCCTCTTGAATTGTTTATGAATGTACAGTCTTGGCTCTTGTGTATCTCTGTTAACTTGTTCACTTTCCTTTTCAGCTTTGAATGCCCAGGCAGCCTTGTCACAGGTACGAGAGCGTCAGCTTGCTAGTCAGTCTCTCCCTGAATCTAACGGAGCCTCATCCAGCGAACCCCCTCTCTCCATCACGGGCCAGCCCCGGCCGGAGCACTGCGAGGGGGCCGCGTCTGGACTGAGAGGTCCCCTTCCCACCACACAGTCCACTCCTGTTTCTGCCCCCCCTGCCAGCGCAAACTTCCTACCACCTGCCAACCCTCCTGTCCAGACTACACCTCCTTCAGGGTCCTTGGGTAACACCCTCCAGCACGCAGCCTTGTCGAGCGCAGAGGAGGCGGTGCTACACAAACTCAGATGGGCCACGCAGGAGCTCCAGCACTCTGCGTCAGTGGAGGCCAGTATCCAGCTCTGCAATCTCATCCGAGGCTGTGCCGAATCCCTGCGTAGCTTGAAAGAGCTGCAGCTCTCATAAGACTGAACTATAATCAGGGCTGTAACAGCACACACACATATAATATGAAATATGAACAGCACATATATATATATATATATATATATATACATATAGTAACATACTCAATGGAGTGTTTCAGTTGTGTTTGTTCCAAAGCAGCATGTGACTGTTGTGTGTTGAAATACATTGCTTTAGCTGCAAAAGCTGTTTTTTCTTTTTCATGATTTTTTTCCCCATTTCTTTATGAAATCCATATTTTCTGAAAGCACTGAATTGACCGTTGTGACGATGTTACTACAGTGGCACCATTTTGATGCTATGAGTTTCGCCATGGTAAGGATACTAGCTGTGTCTCATTTCGAAGACTGCGTCCTCCGGTGGTCGCATTCGTCGGCCGCATACGTCATAAAGGATGTCTTATTTCAGAATAGTAGCCTAACTATTATAAAATTGACTGTTATTCCTAGTGAAGCATAAATTGTAATGTCTTAATGACTTTGGAATGTAGTGGTCAGTTTACTGAAATGACGCAGCCTCAATGATGTATACAGACGTTTTTTTTTTTTTCGCTGCCCAGAGCTTGCCGTTTTTAAACGCAAAAAAATAAAAACTGATGGGCCCTTAAAGGGCCAGTCACATAGAACACGTTTTTGGATTGAAAAAAGTGAGATGCAGGCAATGGAATGGGGAAAACCTGTTTTTGCCTTCCACTACGGCGCTTTTCTATCGTTTTTCTTTGTAAAGCAATAGACAGAAGTGACCATTGTGCTAGTGTTAATAAAGTTCAACTTAAAAAAAAAGGTGTTTCTATGCATTGCCTTTTTTATTCTATTAATTTTCCCCACACAAAGCTCAGATGAAGCCTTTAAAAAAAGTATTTTAGACTCAAGAAAATGCTTAAGGAAAGAAAGAACATGATCTGCTACAATGGTTTTATTACGATTACTGCTGAAAATGAGAAAGTGCTTCACTGTGGCCACCAAAGCTCAGATGAAGCCTTCCCTGTTGTCAATAATTGTATCCCTTAAAACTCATCTTTGATCACCAAAATGACATATAAAAGTTTTTTTCCTGTGAAAATAAGCACCCTTGCTTCATTTAGTATGAGCGGAATCATGAATATGCAAATTAGCCCTCAATCACACAAGCTCAGACTACCTGATCCACTAGGTCAACTTTACTGTTGTAAACACTGCACAATGGCAAGGCATGGAAATACTGGTTTAATTCAGCCATTGTTTAACCATAAATTAAGAAGTGGAACAGTGGATTTTAAAGGGTCATCTACAAATCAATGTATCGGGATGGTAGTGCGTTTTATGTATCGCTCTCTTCAACTTCGGACACATAACGGTAATTAATATGATTAGCCTTTTGCTTGACTACGTTATCAAACAGATGATAATGTGTTGCTAATGTTACACAAACCATCTTCCTTTTCACCATCTCAGAGTCAGCAGCTGTCTTCTAAAAATCAGCATCCTTAGAAACGCTTTGAACAACTTAGAATGTCAGTAACGTCGTAATACTACATAATTTCATCGCATCATACATAATACACCTGCTATATTGTGATTTTTCATATCAACAGAAAAATATACTGGGATAACCTGGCTTCTCTCTAGACTCCCCTGCTTTGCAGCAGTTAATGATATGCTAAAGCCCACCTGCGTGTTGATGTCATGGTCACAACACGTAGATAACAACAGCGATTTCTTTGGTTCACTACTGAAAATACTCAGCAATGGTGTTGACTTATGAATTTGCACATGGTTTGTCTTAAAGCATATTAAAAACACCAAAGGCATATAAATAAATAACATTAAAAACTTGATTTTCTCCACAGGGATCATTAAAAATTCATTGAGACTCAAGAATATACATAAGGAAAGCTAACATGATTGACATAGGCTGCGTCCGAAATTGCATACTGTCTTGAGTACCCAGCAAACACATTAACGTTGTGGCAACGTCTGTGGCACGTTGCATTTCTACTACTATGTAAACGTGGCTGTCTACGTACTAGCAACATTGTTATAGCAACCTTTTGGCCTTGTTGTTAAAACGTTGTTAGAAGGTTGGGTACGTTGTACCAACGTTCTGTGTTTGTTGGGTAGGTACTTAGCACGACCGCTAAAATAAAGGTATGTTCTGTAGTATGAGTGTTTATTTTAACATGTAGGCTACACAAAGTGACACGCATACTATGCAGAACATACATTTTTAGGTCGTGAAGTAATGTCATACTGTGTGCAGTGGAAAGGTGGCTTATGAATGTATTCCGGACATATTGCTATGCTGTCATTATCACCACTGCCATTCACAAATACTCTCCCGTGGCCATCATATGCACATTTCAGAATCTCTGCGGAAGTAATAGGTCATTCTGGTACTTTCTGCCTACTCTTTCATCAGTAGGCTACTGTGAATTCGGACATATTTCCTGTCACATAGTCACATAGCCTACTTTTTTTTTGCTTACTATATTGAGATTACTGCTGGAAATGAGAAACGGCGCCTCACTGTGGCCAAACGGCGCACTGGGCGGAGAGATTCAGTAGGCGAGGTTTAGCTGCACAAGACAAAAGAAAACGTTAAACGAAAACAAAGCGGGGCGCCTTGATCTCCCGACCAGGGTTCCCTGACCAGTTTTTCTTATATTTAAGGGTAGGGATTTGTTTTCATCTCGAGCAGTAGAATAAATGCGCTGCTTTACGACGAAATGCAAGTAAGGAAGAGCGGAAAATCAAATGCCTCCTGAAGAGATACGGTGTAAACGAGCTGTTATAGTTATAATTTAGTTTAGACCAGCGGTTACATATGAGGAATATCGCATATGACTTTTCTTTATATTTTCCGGAAGTTAGTTTTCAGACGTGACATTTGGTTGCAGTTAAGGTCATGCGCTCACCTTTAGCTTGTCTTTTTATAGAAAGATAGTACATCTAATCTCAATTGCATATTTTTAATGGTGTTAAAAATAAATGAGAAAAATAACAACACCAGGCCTGGAAAAGTTACAAACCAGGATTTTATTTTAAAAGCGAAAACAGTGAAATCGGAAATGAACGGGTTTCAGTCCAGTCCAGCGGATTGTCCGGCTGGAAGCGTCTGTTCCATTGAAGGTTTGCCTCCGTTACCCAAAGGACTGAGTGGCATCCTAAACTCGAGCGGGGGATCATGGAGGGACATTGAAAAGGTCTACAGCAAGAGGACACGCATCCAAGCGGACATCAGCAAGTCCAGAGTGAGCGACTGTCTTGGCCGCAGTAAACCAGCTAGCCTTGACGCAGCGCTGGCCGTGTTGCGCAAAGAGATGGTACGAGACAACGCCTGAATGTGCCGGTGTGACCTTCACTAGATATATCTGCTAAATTGGCAGCTATTTATGGGTCAAAGACAAATGTCAGAGATTATTTAAAAAGTACATCTTTTAAACATGTGCTAAGTTTTTTGAAAATGTAAATGAAATGGCTAAATTTGTAATCGTAGCCTATTCATTGTAGTTTCATACATTTTTGAAAAACTTTGCACAAAAATAGTTTTTTAAAGAATATCAAGCTTTTTAGGTTGACTCCTTTTGACCTGAATACAACTTTTTTTTGGTGAATTTATTTATTTATTATTTTACAGTCTCTGGACAGTTACCCTACCTAGACATGTTTGACTTGAGCTCCACCAAAAACAAAACAAAAAAACATCAAAACAACTTTTAATTCAGACATTAAAAACATGTTAATCGTTAAATAATCTTTTTGTATGACAGTCATTTTAGTTTGAAATGCATTTTAATAAAAGTTTAACATTTTCATTAACATTTCCTTGACAGTTTTATTGAAAGCTACGTTACACTAAAAATTAGTTGCCTTACATTTTTAAGTACAACTAACTAACTTGGATGTTTAAGTCATTTCAACTTAAATTGCATTAAACTGACTTAAACTGAATCTTGAATAACTTTAAAAAAAAGTTGAAAATTGCTTGGCTTATTTTGATGAGTTACGGCAATCTAAAAACATATTGATCAAATAATTTTTTACAGTCTATTTTTTAAAGGGAGTGTCTTCTCCCTACAAAATGTTAAATTTTTACTATGCAAACTCATAACAGCTGTTTGTATTATTAGAGGTAATTAAAATATGTATCGGAACTCCGCATAGCTCATATGTTCTCGTGACTTTTGCAGGTTGGTCTCCGACAGTTAGACATGTCCTTGCTGTGCCAGCTGTGGTCTCTATATGAGTCCATACAGGAATACAAAGGAGCTTTCCAGGACATCTCCTCTTCTTTGTGCGAGAGCTCCTTCAACACCGAAAATGGCTATTCTGAGGATGAAGAGGAGGAAGATGAAGATGAAAATGAAGGGGAGAGTGGGGAGACGCTGTTATCCCTTCCTCAGCCCACTCAGAACTCCCGAGACCAGTGGATCAAAGACTCTTTCCACATCCCCATTTAAATGAAGCATGCGCTCTCTTAGTTATAGATCTGATCTCCCATGATCCTCATCGAAATAAACCGTGACAAACATGACCCCATTGTTTGAAGGATTCTATAGGCATCAAAATGATCAAGGCCTTTGTTTTTGTAGGATACTATTACAATGGTGATTGTAAGCTTGTTTCAGGGGAACCATGGAAAACTGCCTTTTTTACTTCCTGTGAAGTCATAAAGACCGGATGTGGACTGACAGGAAGAGGATGTTATGGCCAGAAACAGTGTAGTCTAGGATGTTTTTCTACTTAAGGTAAAGGGTGTATACATCAAAAATTGAATTAAAGACATGCCTTATTATTCTCTCTTTTGATATATCAAGTCACAGTTTCATTATATTATAGATGTGGCAGATATCACTTGTCTATTTTCTTTATACCAGGATTTGAAATACTGTTTATTTTATTATACAATATTATTTACCACCTCTGTTTTCCATTAGTAAGTTAAACTTGCCTTTTGTACAAAATGAAAAAGTAATAAAACATGTCAAACTTTACCTTTTTGCTGATGGTCTCAAGAATATACTTCAGTAAAAGTGGTTTGTTTCCTTTATTTTTAGCTACATTTTCTGTCGTCTGATACTTTATCCACCAATGTTTCAAAATACATGCTCAACAAGTTCAAAACAGCTGTCCAGTGCAGATATGAACACATCAGCCATTAGGTGGCATACATTTCCTTCCTAAAGTTTGTAAATTGATGTTGTTTTGAGTCATGATGTCAAGAATATTAGAGTAAACAATCTCTCTTCTTTCCATTGCCTTGGTACCGTTTAGCGCAAAAGAAGATTGCTAGATTCTTCTCCTTTAATGTTTATCTTTGAGTCAGACCAGATACAGTACATGCCATCGGATTAAAACAATTATACTAAATTTGAATGTTTAGATTGAGACTCCTTCAGATCTTTCTGAACCACTCACTCATTACGCAGAAAGTATAAACAAATGGTTCCAGCTACTCTTGTGCTTATTAGGTAATACTGCTAGCTTATTTTGCATTAGGGAGAGAAGGGGGGAACAAGTTCAGACACAGGCCAGGCAGCACTAAAAAAACTGTTCCATCACTATTATTCATATTATTACAGTAACACATTGGCATGTCCTGTAATTTCCATCAAAATTAAGCTTTAGGTTTTATCAAGTCTTTATGTAGTCTATAGCAGTTTAATAAATACAAAGTTCTGTCATAAAACTCCAGATGGCGCAGGCTGATTACTGTCCTTAACTCAATCTTCTTGCAATCACATGATTCTCTATAGGGTTGACAGTTGATTGGTTCCTGCTGTATCAGTAGCAATGAGCTCGCTCCTCGCTGCTCAACTTTCAAAGACTTGGTTTGCTGTAGCAGTTGCAGCGTGCTTTCATAAACCCTCCACCTTCCCCAGCTCCACCTGTATAGATCTGCTACGGGTAATTCATGTATGCTATATTGTACAGCAGCAGCAAGTTATGTCTTATATTGGCAGTAGTCCCGTACTTTCTCTGCAGCAGCGTAGCAGATCTATTCCGCCAAAACCAAACATATCAACAGGCATATAAACTCACAGAAGAGTTGTCATGACAGAAATAGCAATATACTAAGTTTAATGTAATATATAACAATATACTGTAGCATTTTCTATTATTCAAATTAATTTAAATGGAGAGGATGTTTGGAAACTCAGTCATGACCAGAAATTTTACATAAGCTAGCTTATATTTGCATAACTAAAATTACACTGCAAACTGTAGCTTTAGGTATTATGAAGTCCGTCTATAGCATTTTAAATTGTATTTAGCCATTGGTTTCATCTCTGACATTTATTTGGGTTGAAGTTGAGCAGGTGGATGAATTACAGTCTCTAAACTCTGCCATTCGGGGAGGTCATGGTTCTCCATGCTCACTGCAGCTGCTGTCAGAGTCTGTCCTCTAAAGAATAGCAAACAGTTATTAAAGGTTTCCGTCTGGTGCTCTAGGCTAAGTGGTCGTATGTTTGAGTCTTTGCAGGTAGACAACAAGAACAAAGCTCTGGGCAGTCTTACAGCACTGAGAATTTGTCATTGTCCCACAAGCCCCACTCATGTGCCAAAATCTCGCTGAAACGCACTGTAGTGTCCACATTGCATACTTCTTCAGGGAGACCATCTCAAACTCCACATATTTGGTATGATGGAGTGATTAAGTGGTGAAGGATGTGGCATTTCTCTAGACAGCTCTATAAATAAAATACAGATGTAAGATATTGTTGGATACAATATCTCAACAAGGAATGTCTGTTAAAAGTAACTCAAACCAAAGGTCGCATTGCTATCTTTTCAATCACATTAATATGAAAAATATGCACTTTCTGCCCTTTGATTAATCTTAAAGGCATAAATATTATGGCAGAAATGATTACAGATACTTTTTACATACTTCTGTTGTTTAACTAAGCATTTTTTAAAACCATTACCATCATTCTAACGTGAATTTATTTGCATTTTGCAATTCAAAAGTTTGGGGTTGGTAAGATTTTTTAAAATGTTTTTTTGAAAGACATTTCGTATGCTCATCAAGGCTACTTTTTAATCAAAATATAGCAAAAACAGTAATATTGTGAGATATTGTAAAAAATTTAAATAACTGTTTTCTATTTTAATATAATTTAAAATGTAATTTATTCTTGTGATGGCAAAGCTGAATTTTCAGCATAATTACTAGTGTATTATGTGTATTCATTACTATAATTACAGTCTTCATTGTCATATAATCCTTTAGAAATCATTCTAAAATGCTGATTAATGCAACAGTTGTGTTGCTTAATATTTTTGTGGAAACTGTAAAACATTTTCTTTAGGATTCTTTGATCGATAGAAAGTTTATTTTAAATAGAAACAGCATTTATTTGAAATAGAAATCTTAACATTATAAATGTCTTTCCTGTCACTTTTGATCAATTTAATGCATCCTTGCTGAATTAAAGTAATAGTTTCTTTCTTTCTTTCTTTCAAAAAAATAATCTTACTTAACTTTTCAAAAGTAGCATATGTGGTCGAAGGAGAACAGTATGTCATCTTCATGTTCTTCGCAAATAAATAAGGCCCTTGTTTTTTTATACCATACGGTGGTGTGGCACGTCATTATAAGGATGAGGCATTTCTTGATCCACCTAGTGTGTAAGCATGTATTTTGAGTGAGCTCATGTCTTACCCAGATACAAACTCAGCTTGTGATGTCCAGTGAAGGGAGGGGCCCATTTTGGAAACTCATAGTCATGACCACAAATCACTGTTTCCCAGTAGACTTAAGTCTGTTTGCTAAGTTTGCTAAGTTTGGAAGTCGTGCTGTGTGTTTGTTTTTGAGGTTTTTTGTTGATTGTATGGATTACTGTTGGCTGTAAAAACAAATTGCTCCTTGGGGATAATAAAGTTGACCTAACCTATAACCTAACCTAAGTTTTACATGAGCTGGCTCATATGTGCGTACCTGAAATTAGACTGCAAACTATATTCAACAACTCTCAAAAACAAACCACTGTAGTTAGTTTCACGTGTCAATAATCACCTGTGCTGATCAGTTATTGTTAATGAGCTTTACTGAAATGCATATAGCCTTATAAGGTAGAATATATAAATTAATATAGCATAAGGTATATAATTGAACATTGAAGAGTTTTTGAATTTGTTTTGTTTTGTATTTTGAGATTGTAATGTGGAGTTAGCATGCAGTGAGTGGAAACACCAGACAGGAAGAGGTTAGTGTCACACAGAAATATGACTAAGGGGGTCACCGATTTGGATTCTAGGTCATCAACTGAGCCAAACGTTTGTGCTCCCCCTCATAACCCACGCAAGCGGCACCACTCGTTCCATCCCTCCAGCTGCTTCTGTCCATTTATCCCTCGCTCCCAGCCTTCTAAAATAGATCATGTGTAACTTGAAAAATCCCCTTCCCAATGTCCACTAAAAATACCCATCGTGATCAAGGACTGGACAGCCTCACATTGCTGCTCCAGATCATTATGTTGATAAATGCACTGAATGTACATTATGTTTTTCTCAGCAACAGTTTTACAAGGGAGTCTATGGCAGGCAGCCCATATGGTACATTTATATGATCTGAAGATGATTTGACCCAAATTAAGTGACAATGCAATGAACGATGAACATAGCCCTATTTTACCAAATGGTTCTAGGGCTGCCATATACTCCCATATGAATGAATGAATGTCAATCTATCTATCTATCTGTCTATCTATCTATCTATCTATCTATCTATCTATCTATCTATCTATCTATCTATCTATCTATCTATCTATATATCTATCTATCTATCTATCTATCTATCTATCTATCTATCTATCTATCTATCTATCTATCTATCTATCTATCTATCTATCTATCTATCTATCTATCTGTCCATCCATCTATCTGTGTAAAGTATTGTCAAATTGCAACATAACTTGGTAAAATGTGGTAAAAAAAAGCTACCCAAAATGTTTGGAGACAACATAAATGAGCAATCATAAATATGAATACGTATGTTTACCTTTGAATTATTTTGCCCTAAAATCACAGACCAATTTTATTTATTTGTATTACCCATAGGCCTACTCCACGTCCACAATTATATTTTCTTTTTTTTAAACTCCTTTTCGCAAACCCCCCAAACAGCGTTCATTTTGTAGCGCCACCTAGGCCTATTTGCAGTAGCCTAGGCTATACAGTTTTAGGAACTAGTTTTTTTTAACTGCTTTTCAGAAAATCATCACTTTGGACTTTATCTGTAATTTTGCAACTAAGATAGGCCTATTATAATTATTCAAACTTATTCATAGAGTGTGTCCTCTTCTAAACCCTTGTGACTGGATGTAACCCCTGATCCATCATGTCATTATAGTACCTTTAGTAGCCTACTGTATACAATGAGGGAGATTTTGCATAGAGCTGCATCATATGCGTGTTTGCATAACCCTTCCCACCAACTCCTGCACTTCTTCGTCCACTTTCATCAGTTCATGGTCAGTCAGCTGCTTTTTAGAATAATTTCGTATCGCGTCACGAGTTCCCTCAAGATTCTATACCAAGTACCCACAAATGTTTTTGCTCCAAGGCAACTAATGCCAATACACTGACAATCTCTCGCTCTGGTGTGTAACGTGATGCAGTAGTTTCCGTAAATGGTCTTTACTCGATGGCGACAGTTCGGTGGTACTGAGCCGCATGAGGTGCAGCTCGTGCTCCTCACCAGGAACATTTTACTTTACGAGCCACTTGACAGCCGTATATTTCAGTAGGTTTTACTTTTTGTTCAGTGGCGGGACGGTAAAAACATAATTTCCATGTGCCTGACTTCATTCGCGGATACTGCATTTTCTACAGAAGAATGACTTCAGTGTGGAAAAGATTACAAAGAGTTGGCAAAAAGGCTACTAAATTTCAGTTCGTGGCTTCGTATCAAGAACTTGTTCTGGAATGTACAAAGAAATGGTAAGTTATGATTTCTTTTCCGTTATAGCGCGTGTGCTTCCTAAATACGCAGTGCTGAAGGGCGGTTCTTCTGACTGAAACAGTACAATGCGCACACACTATATCTTATTTTAAATTAGCGTTGGCAGGCTAATCTAAATGATTGTGAATAGAACAATTAATACAGCTCTCGATATTAAGACTGTATTTGAAATGCATTGGAGAACGTTGACAGCCACACACACCTCTACTTCCGCCTCCATCACTCGTGCTGTCAACACTGAACATATTATGATGAACATCCATCATGATAATCTAAGCAGAATAAAGTGCTGCTGCTTCTTTTAATTTTAATTTTCCTGACTCACATAAGAGGGAGTTATAATTGTTTCAAATTGAGTGGTGTTTTTTTCCCTTTATTTTTAGGTGTTGTCCATGTCATTTTTCGGTTATTATATCATGAGAGCTTTAAAGAGCATTGAATTCCTTTTGACTTCACCCTTAAATAGTCGGGGAAATACTTTATTGCTGTTTTCCAACACAAAACTCAAATTGTAAGTTTTGTGCAATATTTGGCTTTTATTTTATTTTTATTTTATTTTTTCAAAAAAGTTTTCCATATACCGTAAAACGTGTTGAGGTGAGAGAATTAAACAATTCTATAGAATTGTTTAATTCTCTCACCTCAACATGGTTTATATGGAAAACTTTTGCAGAAATAGTATACTATTTCTGCTGTATAGGCTACTATACTATTTTTGCAGAAATAGTATACTATTTCTGCTGTCTATCGTGTCTTGATCAAGAGACAGCTGTTGACACAGACAGGGAGTGTTTCTGTCCTCACATTCATTAATAACACGTGTCTTATATGGCCTATTTGTTCTTATCTATGATCAAAGACAGCATTATCAGGAAGAATTCAGTCTGATTGGATTTGAAAAAGATACTGTTTTTCAATCACAAGTATAGCAAAGACAAAAAGGTGTATTTAAATCAAAAGCAATCAAATCAAATGACTTTATCATCACTACACCATACACAAGTGTAACAGTGAGTGGAAATATTGGGTGCGTCATCCACCAACATTGCAGTCGTAATAATGACAGTATAAGACAATATACAAGATGCAGAATACCCATATGCACAATACACATAATACGCTAATATGTTCTTGAATGCTTCTGTTGGACTGGAGAATTTGTTTTAATCATTTTGCTGATATTAACTATTGACAATATTCTATGAACAAGTCTTGGCCTGGCAAATGAAGCAACCCTCCGTTATCCAATGTTTGTCATCTGCCTTAGGAACTGAATCACTCTGTAATTTCTGCCTTTAGAGTTAAGCACTATCTGAGATTTAACACAATCTCTGTCATAGAATGCCTGAATCATCTTATTGGTGATCTAAATGATCTCAGTTTCACCAATTCTATATTCTAGAAATTAGTTACTCTTTCTTATTTAATATGGACTCGTATTCAAACTTTCAACATTGTTATTGGAAAAAAAAAAGGTTGGGTTAATAGTAAACTTGAGGAGTCGTAATTGTTGTTATCACCTAATGAGCTTACAGCTGATGTGCTAGGCCTATGTCCTAGATTCTCTTGCAACACTGAGGAGAGAAATTCCTGTATATCTTTTACAGAGCTTTCTTTTGCTGACCTAAACATGTATCGTAGTACAGCTTTCTTAAAATCTCTTTTCTAGAGCAGGTAGTGTTTCTAAAGGTGAAAAGAAACTACAGAATGTGTAGTTAACTACTTATTTCTGTAAGCACGTCTGATCTTGTGAAGCTCAAAGGGGTGATTTTCGTATATACTGCCAGTGGGCCAAAGACAAAGTCTGTTGATGTTACGCCACAGCTGAGGAGGGTGTGAGCAGGAGATATCAGACAGCTGAAAATGACACAGCGGTTGCTTATGATGGGGTAATATAACTTGAACGGGGTGTGTGAGCATGTGTGTGCTTATCTGACAGTTATTTTACATGTCAAAATGATGAAAAAAGTAGGACTGAATTCCAGAAAGAGAACTCTCCAACCAGGCTTTCAGTCTATTTTTACGTCCATCCGCGCTCTGCCCACGTTCCCCGTCTTCTCCTCCTAATTTATCCTTTTAGCCCGTTCTGCCCTGTTGCTATTACTAGCTGTAACCTGAGTAAGAGTTGGGTCTCGCTTCTCTTTGTGTAGCGGTTCGTGCTGCTACTGACACACATTACCTATAATAATGACCTAATAGATGATCCAGCTGTACTGTGACATTTACATCTGGAGGACGTTCATTAAGAATCATATTCTCGGTTAGTTTAAAGGGATGTTATTAATTTTCCCTTCGTTTAAACTTTTTCCCTTCGTTTGACCTTTTTCTCTGGTATGCGAAAGTAGCAATTTCTATTCATATTCTGGTCATGGTTTTCCAAGCAATTAGAATAGGGACTTCATTAAAGCACCATAAAAATATCTTAAAAGTGGTCCATGTGACTCATACGCTACAATAGCTATGTTTCCATCCACCTATTTTTATGCGCACCACATTAAAAAAAACGCTGTATGGAAACTGCAAGATGCGCAGAAATTCTAAAAATGCGCATAAAAAACGTATGCGCTCAATTGAGTCAGATAAAAAAAATGATCCGATAAGAAGACATGCACATAAACTACGATTAAAACACATTTACCGAAAAAATCCCTTGATGCGCAACAAAAAACTCAACAAAGGATGGGATTGGATAACTACTAACCAGCGGACCAATTTCATTGCACCGCATCTGTTTGATCTTTCTGAAATACCTCAACCAAAGTCTGTCATCAGAATGATTTTGTATAATGACTTCCCAGAACTGTCTCACATGATTGCATTACCAAACATCAGGCATCCAAATGCAAGATAACATGACAGCGTTTATTGCGTTTCGTCATTTATGCAAGTCTAGTAATGACACAGTTTATTACAGATATTTTGCGCCATTTTCCCAGGAAGTGACAATTTTGTTCTCTTGAACACATGGGATGGAAACGCTGCTTTATTCACAAATCTTTTAACCCATATTCCAATTTTGCACATAAGTTAAATTTGCAACTTTGGATGGAAAATGTTTTGAAGCAGTGTAATAGCTTTGTGTGATGGACAGGGCAAATCGCTAGTTACGCATGTAACTGTGGTTCTGTGAATTCTGGATGACCGCCAGAGGCAGTGTAAACACTATGGATTATCGCAGCGCCAGCTAGATAGGTCGAGAGAATATACCAACTAGGGCTGTCAACGAATATTCTAAATTCGAATATATATTCGAATAGTTTTAAAAAACAGAAATTCGAAGGTGAAAATTAATATTCGAATCATGTGGAAAAACACAAGCGCGGTAGCAGAGGCGCGGCTGTCTGCTTTGCGAGTGGCAAAATTCTGTAGCTTAAAATGTAAAACGCATTTTCTAGCTGCACAGCTAGCACAGTGAGTGTCTGGCTCACTCATTGGCTGTGCTGCGGCAACTGCACATCCAATGGCACGGGCGCCTCCAACGTGTGCGCCAATGAGCTAGCATTACATCAGACACGTCAGAGCCCGCCAAGGGGGCGTGGCCAGACGCCCTCGAAATAGCCATAGAGTAGCAGGCTAGCTAGCAGCAGTTTACCCATGAGTTTACCACAGCACAGCTCGCTCGGAGCGTTCAATGTCGGTTCTATATACTGTAAAACTTCAATTAATGTTAATAATATTTGTTTCAATCACCGAATGAAGTCTGCTATATTTAGGACAAGAGTCGCGACCTTACATTGCTTGCACAAAACTCTTGATCAGCACTCAACATTTGTTTATTGTTGTTCATTTAAACCGTTGTGCGCAGAGAGCGTGAGGGCGAGAGAGAGAGAGAGAGAGAGAGAGAGAGAGAGAGAGTGCCTGCGAGTGCGAGCGAGAGTAAGGTCTGCGGTCTTGGCCATTAGTTGATTTACTTGGTTTTGTGTAAGTTAATACGTTGTCAAATATGTTTAAACTTAAATAAACTACCTATACAAGTAGTTGTGTCTCTTTGTATTAATTTGTCCTGTTATTGACGTAATGCGCGTCATTGACAAAATACAAAACCAGATATTCAAATAGTTCGAATATATGTGTTTTTTTTAGAGGGAATATTCGAACGTCATTTTTGAGCAATTTTGACAGCCCTAATACCAACAAAGTCACGTGGCGTGACGTATGCTGAGCCCTGGAGGGTAAAGCAGCTCAGCACTCTACCTCGGTACGCCTTTCTCGCGCATTCCGAGTGACAGAGAACTCTGGCGGTCATCCAGAATTCACAGAACCACAGTTACATGCGTAACTAGCATTCTGTTTCATTCTTACTGACCGCCAGAGGCAGTGTAAACACTATGGATGACACATACCAACATAGTCATGAGGAATGCCACCCACCTGATGAAATTAAGGCTGCTCCAGAAGAACCGCAGAACTAACGGCATGATGAGCAGCAACGTTGACCTTATAAAACCGGGCAAACGTGCATGGAGAAGCCCAGGTAGCAGCAGTGCAGATATCCACCAGGGAAACTCCTCTAAAAACAGCCCATGAAGATGAAATGGCCCTAGTGGAATGGCAAGTTAGTCTCCAGGGCAGTGGTCTCCCTGCCGCCTTGTAAGCCAGCGTAATGGTCTCCACTATCCAGTTCGACAACCTCTGTTTCGACAATGGAGCACCTTTCTTCACACCACCATGGCAGACAAATAACTGGTCTGACCGTCTAAATTGAACAGTAGAGTTCACATAACACTTCAAGGCCCGAACAGGACACAAGAGTTGGGCACTTGAATCGGACCCTGAAGAAGTCTGAAAGGAGGCCAGTTCAATATGCTGATTTATGAACTGAGGAAGAAGGACCTTCGGAAGAAAAGAAGGATTGGGTCGTAGAACCACCCCGGAGCCATCCGGTAACCAACGCAAGCACAGTTCACTAACAGACAACGCGTGCAACTCACTGACTTGTTTCGCCGTAGCAATAGCTAACAAAAAAGAAGTCTTCAAG